GCGCACTCTGCAAGTTCATTCATAACACCTGGTATCAGAGATACTTACCTAGCTCACCCCGCTTTTTAGAGTGTAAAACCCCTCGGGGGGGGGGACGAGGAAAGATGTCTTGGGGTCCAAGAGTTGCGTAGGCTGGCCAGGAGAACTAGTTAGTTGCTCCTCGCGGCCATGTTTTTGTGGGCACTCCTTCGGCACCGCCAGATCCTTGCCTCGAACGGTCGCGATCGACCGTGGCCTCCCTCCCTCCGGGCAACGGACAGCTGTAGCTGTCGCGACATTAAACGTGAGTTATTGTTCCGCTACGGTTTTATCGACGATTTCGGAACTTTGTGAGGCAGCTGGCGTCAGCGGACCTGTGTCGGCACCTACACGAAATTCGCGGAGGTCGTCAGCGTGTGTGGCAGTTGACGCTGCTGGACCTGTGTCAACAGTTGCGCGACAACTTCGAAGTCCGTCCCATACGGCAAGTGACAACGGTGGCTCGTCGTCATCTTGCGCGCGTGACTCACGGAGTGTGGCTCGGCAGCTGGCGACAAGAACGTGCGTCACTGTGGGCGATAATTTCAGAGCAACTGTGGAGAAAAGGACGGCTTGAAGGACTCGCCAGGCGCAAATGGAGTTTTGCGTCCGAAAATGTCGGTGGACGAGGAGAGATGACATGCGAATTGCCCGAATTATGCGGGGTCAACTGTCGTCCCGCCCGACCTGAAGTGCAGCGGCTTTTACTGCACGGCGGGCGCGTCATCGAAGATTTCGGCAGAAGTGCACGTGGACAGACGGGATTTTCAGACCCGCCGACACTTACGGGCTGCAACGAAAAGCGGAGTGGCCATATTGCACTTAGCAGAAGAGGGACGCAGGCGGCGAGGGAAATCGAGGCAGGTACACCTCGGAAACAACTCGTGCGACACTGCGTGCCTGGTGTTGTTGCAAGCTGGCCGGCAGTATCGAGAGCGGTTTCTCCTGACCAGAGAATTCGTTTTCGGGGACAGCTGCTGACAACCCACGATTAAACGGCGTCCAAGGTACCGCCCGACAATTTCGGAGGGGTCGGTACAGGCTGCCGGGACACACGGGCAGAAACTGTTCAACGGCTAAGCGAGGGTTCAAGAACGTCGTGGGGAGCAGATCAAAAGCCTGCGGAATCGATCTGCGGCCCTACTTTGCCCGAACCTCACCTTCCCACCAAGTTCTAGTTCTGACTCATGTAGTCAACTTGCTTGGCCAAATAACGGGGGTGAACACGTGCCTACCCTGTGCTGGTTAAAGGCACCTGGATTGGTGCTCGTTCGACAGCTGTACAGAAACAAAAACATAAAAAATTGGAGTTTGCGGCACTAATCTACTCCGACAAAAGCGGGCTGGGTGAACGGCACGCGAAAAAATCGGGGTGCCGCAAGGACAACATTGGCGCAGTTTCCGGATTTCTCCTGACCCGGGCGTCTACACGGATTGACGGCGCAGCGGCGAAGCTGAGATCGGGAAGCTGTGGAATTTTCGTGGCGTGATAGGCACGGCGGGCCGCAAAACGGTTGGGCGATAGTTCCTTTTAACTAAGGCGACCCCGACGCCGCTAGTTTTTGCCTCTCCACCGTGGCCGGTTCGCGCGGGCAGCAACGACGATACCCCATCCGACAAGGCGGACGCTGGGTGAACGGCGGGAAGCGGAATTGTCGGGGGGTGAATACTGTTAACGGGAATGAAGTGTTGGCCCCACCCTCGCTTGGGCAACGCCGACAACTTGGTCGGATGTACGGAAGTAGCAGCCGACTTCTCACAGTGGGATAGCTGCTCGACAGGTTACGTCGAGCTGCAGCGGACCACTGTGGTGTTGCTGTCGACCAGGATGCTCGACAGCTGCACCTGACTGGCCTGGGCGACGGGTGAGCCGTCCGGGAGGTCGACGAAGCAGTCCGTCGACCTACAGTTCGACGGGGAGGTCTATGGAGCATCCCGTCGAACTGCAGCTCGACCGGGAGGTCAACGGAGCGTCCCGTCGAATTGCAGTCCGACCGGGAGGTCGACAGAGCAGTTCTGGTTGACGGAAGGGGTCCGTCGACCAAGGGGTAGCTTGACGGGAGGTGTGGTCGACCAGGAGCGCCCGGTGGTCGACCAGAGGGACCCAGTGGTCGACGGGAGGCACCTGGGAGTCGACCAGAGCACCAGGGGTCGACCAGGTCGACCGGGTAACCTGCTCGACGAGTTCTGCGGAGGCACGCGAACGTCGTCGAGATCGCGATGGCGCAGGCGACTTCGGGCTGGTATCCCGAAGTCGATGTGGCTCGTCAGGCGCAGACAAACGGCCGACGGATGCCCAACGAGGCAAGTCGGGCCAATCGTCTGCGCACACCTGTGAGCGCGCGCACTGCTGTGTTCTACGGGGCACGCCGTCGACCTGCTTTGTTGGCAGGTCGCCCTTCTGCAGTGCTGGCGCGGCTCCTCTATGCAATGCTGGCAGGCGGTCGACCGAGCTGCGCTGGCGGTCGACCAGGCTGGCTGCAGGGTTGCTAGGTGCCTGATGTAGTCATTGTTGTCATTGCTTCTTGATTATTCTGGAAAACTCTTGCCAAATTCTTCCGTGAATGTGCAAACATTAAGGAACTAAGCAAAGCTAAGATCACCTCTAGTAGTTCGTGCCAACCCCTGTAGTCTAGCTCACTACCGTTGTAGAGTTAATCTCCACAAATACGAAAACAATATGACGACGGAGGGAAAGTTGTGGGTGATCCGGCAGATCACTTGAGTGAGAGGTTGAGCCCGTGCATCACTCCACCGCAAATTTCGGAGTGTATTCGGTAGATCCCCAAAAGGGTTTGATATTTTTACATGGAGGCGCGGCGAGGGGTGCATGGCCAATGATACCTGGGATTCGCTAAGTGGTTTCGACGGGAAAGATGGGTGAACATCAGACTACCAGGGTTAACGGCGGAAACGTCGGGGCTACACGGCGGAGGATAACTTCGGGACTGCTGCCTCAACCATGATTTTCGGGCTATCTTCCTACAGAAAAAGGAGTTGGAGCTGAGGGTGTTTCTTCGAAGGAGTTGGAGCTGAGGGTGTTTCTACGCTTCTTGGAGTGCGGTTGAGCCGTTGGGGGACTTCGCCTAAAGGGTCACTTTTGAAGTCGCCTGGCAAGAAACACAGCAGCGGGGATACCTAGAACCCACTGGTGTTTTAACGTACACCGCGGGAAATTCTTAGGGTTTAGGGAGCGTGGGAGCAGCCGAAGTTTCGGGATTTACCTGCCGGCGACGAGCGATGAGGTGAAACATCCGCAAAGCGCCAGTGGGAGTGTGCGTGTTATTTTGTTAAAGCATATCGGCGGGAGCAGTTTTGACGACGGGGTCAACGGCGTTGATGCCACTAGGATCCGTGAAAGTCGGTCTCGGAATACCCAGGTCTAGTCCCCGGCTCCAGATTATGCCCCCAGATGGGTTCTGATCTGACGGAAACAGCTGGTGACCGAGTGGGCGGCTATAGTACGACCGAAGATTTCGGAGGCGAACTGCACCTGCAACTGCGGATTTTACGGGTTGTTTTGGAGCGACAATTTTGGAGTTTGACGACGGACTTACCAGTTTCATGGCGCGGAGAGCCAACATTTTCGAGCCATTACTTCGACATTTGGTTAAACGCGCGCAACATTTACGTGGGGAAACACCGCGGGAACTACACGGAGTTTCAAGGGGTACGAACGACTGACGAACTGAAGAAGGCGGCAGCAACAGTGAAGGGGGGAGAGACAGCTGTGAAATTTCATCCCTGCCCACGAACTATCGGCGCATTACGACAAAACTCTCGGAACAACCATTCCAACTCTGCTACTGCCAACTCGCTTTCGACCCGCCCACGACAACTGCATTTACTATCAACCACGTCAGGTGCTGCCAGCTGCAACTGCTGAAGACACCACCGAGGATTCTGGATGTGTCACGACAAGAATTGACAGTTCGAGGTCTTTAATTATTTCGACACGGTTTCCGGTCTACATTTTCTGGCTCGCCCTCGATTTTTTTTTGGGCACGTAATACCTGCTTTGTCATCGACTTTTCACATCGACGCGTTTTCACCTTGGTTTTCTTATTGGGACTTCACACCTGGTCTTGTTTGGTTTTCATCTCGGCGCAGCTGCGGGACTTTTCTGGTGTGTTTTCTTGGAAGGGGGGGAAAAGTGCGCTGCACTGTTTCTTTCCTTGGCGTTTTCTCGATCCTTTTCTGACTTTGTCAGGTTGCGTCAGCACGACGGACGATCGCGATCACACCGACACGATCTACGGTCCCTGCTCAAACGCGTTTGAATTCGCGTTAGCATGTTCCCTCCCTTCTCGCGTCAGTCTTCGACCGTCAGATTTACATCTGCTCGATCGACGGCCCACAATCCAACTTTCATTACATTTGGGACAGTTAATCGTCGACTATCAGATCGAAATCGGACTTCATCAACGGCCTACATTCCAACCCTTGTCAAATGCATTTCAGCCGTCGGATTCAGCTGAAGAGGAGATCTACGGCATCCTTGCTAGTGTGGGGTCCGTTCTCAGTACAGGACTGCCTTATTTAGAAGGTGGGAGAGTGTAAGGATTTACAAATCCTTACTGACGTGAAAAAAACGCATCACAATTCGCACATGTCGTTACGGCTGATTATGGGAGACGAGGTAATAGAAGATACGCACTGAGTTTAGTGGTATTTAGATCCGCGTAATTCCCAGTAAGCATTCCCGCGTTAAGCACGCTGTGCACCCCGTACTCGTCATCAGCCTCTGCCGAGTCGACAAATCGCACTCGAATTTTAGTTTCTTTCAGAAAGTTAGCAGTGTCGGTGCCTAGTGCAATCTTCCTTGCCGTAGTGGCCGCCGGTGACTTGCCAAACACTATACATTTCGCAAATCGCTTCACCCAAGACGACTCGCACGCGTCACACTCCCGTTAGGGTCGTCCTCCTTGTGCGCCGAGTAATCCGTTAGCACTTTCTCCCTGCGCACCTAGCAAAGATCCGCGATGGCGCGGCGCAAGACGAAGGAGAGCAAACGGAGGGCGGCGCAGGCGGGGAAGGAGGAGGAGGCGGCGGCGCAGATGGCCCCCGACGAGAAGGTTCCGCGGACCATGATGTTCGCGCGCGGGAAGGTCAATATTCTCCTCAAGCGCCTCGTGCAGGACATGCGGAAAATGCTGCTGCCCTTCACCGCGCTCAAACTCAAGGTCCGCTGTCGCGCGAACGCGCGCTCTTCCCGCTTCTCCCGCTTATGCCCCCTCTCCCCCCACTCCCTCTCCCCCCACTCCCTCTTCCCCCACTCCCCCTTCCCCCTCTCCCCCGTCTCCCCCGTCTCCTTCCTCCCCAATCCTCGGCGCGAGCCATCTCCGCGCCTCTCTTCCTTGTCAACCAACTAGCGTCTCACGTTTCGGGCCATTTCCTCCCCGTTCCCTCGCGCCCTTGCTGTCTCGCCTTCCCTTGCTCTCGCCTCCAACGTCGCCCTTCCCATCGTCTCACTTCGCCTCTTTGAAGGTCTCTCTATTGCGATGGTTTTGAGATATCTCAACCCACAACCCTTTTCTTTTCGTGGAAACCTGAAACCCTGAAGAATCACGGCGCAGTCTCCTTCAAAGGCGTTGTGCGCGCTGTTTGTAAGGCGCATCGAAGCCCTTCCCGCCCCTCCCGCCCCGTCCCCTCTCTGTTGATCGCACTAAACCCAAACTCTGAACCCCTCGCAGAAATCAAGGCACGTTTTTGCAAAAAAAAAAAGTGCTGCGCTGGTTACAATACGCCTCAAAGCCCCTTCCCCGTTCCCCTCCACCCCCCTTTTAGTGCCGTTTACACATTGTGCTAATCGCGAACCACCGAACCTTCCCTTGCCGCCATGCATTTCCAAATGCTTTCCAACTCCCCCTCACCCCAATCTTTCATTTTTATTTCTTTGAACCAAAATTCAACCGTTTTTTCTCACGGATTTTGGCCCAAGCGGCGGACTGGGTAAGTGCAACGCACTTCCCAGTGCTCTCTTAGTCCCCCTTAATCCAAAGCCCTCAATCAGGACCCTAAACCCCAAATCCCTTCAGGAATCTCAGCAAAACAATCTAAAAAATATTCTCCACGTGGCAGGCCCTCTGGGCGTCGCGCACTTCCCCGTGCTATCCAACCCAACCTCTCTTGAACAGATTTTTAAGCAAGGTCCTGAAGCCTGAACCTCAAACCCCAGATACACCTCTCCAGGAATCCAGGTGCAATACTCTAGAAAAATCCTCCACCTGACAGAACCGCTGGGTGTCACTCACTTCCTCGGTCTACCTTTGCCTAAAGCCCTGACCATGAACTCCAAACTCCAAGTTTTCTTACCTCAAACCCGAAATCCCTGGCAGGGGTCAAGGAAAAACAACCTCAAGGACTTCCTCCACGTGGCAGGCCCCCTTGGCGTCACGCACTTCCTCATGCTCTTTCAGTGTACCTTCAATCTTTTTTTGTTAACCTTAAACCCTGAACTCCTCTACAGGAATCCAGGACTTCCTCCACGTGGCAGGCCCTCTGGGAGTCATGCATTTGCTCTCCAAGTCTTCCTTCAGTCAAATCCCAAATCCTGGATTTTTTTTTTAGAAACCCCAAACCCCCTCTGCAGGAATCCAGGAAGAATCTCAAGGACTTCCTCCACGTGGCAGGCCCTCTGGGCGTGACTCACTTCCTCATGCTCTCCCCAGTGTACTTTACTCTTGAAATCTTTACCTTAAACCCCGAACCCCCCTCCAGGAATCGAGAAAAAACAACCTCAAGGACTTCCTCCACGTGGCAGGCCCGCTGGGCGTGACTCACTTCCTCATGCTCTCCCCAGTGTACTTTACTCTTGAAATCTTTACCTTAAACCCCGAACCCCCCTCCAGGAATCGAGAAAAAACAACCTCAAGGACTTCCTCCACGTGGCAGGCCCGCTGGGCGTGACTCACTTCCTCATGCTCTCCAAGTCTGACGTGTCACCCTACCTGCGCGTCGCGCGCACGCCACGTGGACCCACGCTCACCTTCCGCATCCTGGACTACTCCCTTGCTGCTGATGTAGCGAAATCCCAGAGGCGCCCCTACGTGCCAGCTGGCGTGTTCGAGGCCCCACCTCTGGTGAGTTAAAGGGAGGGGCAGACGGGGGGATGGGGAGGGAGAGGGCTTTAATTTTGGATATCACGATTTGGGGTTTGGTGAAAACAGGGAGACGGACTAGCTCAGCTGGCGTGTGTTTGAGGCGCCGCTAGTGGCGAGAGGGAGGGAGCAGGGGATTGGTTGGGTTTTCTTGAGAAGGGCTTGGTTCTGCTGTTGTTGGGTGAGAAAAGGGGCATCTTGGCAGTGGGGCTTGTGAAATTTAGGGATGGCTCTGATGTGGTTCTCTTAGCTTTGCTCTGTGAGTGTGCGTGTGTGTGTGTGCGTGCATGTGTGTATGTGTGTGTGTGTGTGTGTGCGTGCGTGTATGTGTGTGTGTGTGCGCGCGCGCGTGCGTGTGTGTGTATGCACGTGCATGTGTGTATGTGTGTGTGTGTGCGCGCGCGCGCGTGTGTGTGCATGTGTGTGTGCGTATGTGCGTGGTGTGTGCGTGCGTGGATGCATGTGTGTGTGCGTTCGTGTGTGTGTCCGTGTGCATGTGTTTGTGCGTGTTCATGCATGTTTGGGTGCATGTGTACATGGTGGTGGTGATGAACGGCATGGGAGCAAGTAGCAAGGGTATGTGTGCATGTGTTCCCACCTCTCCTTTCTTCTCCCTCCCACCCTTCACATCCAGGTGGTGATGAACGGCATGGGAGCAAGTGGCAGGCAAGGGCATGGAGCATCTGAAGCTTTTGAGGAGCCTGGTCTATTCATGGGCCCCCCTTTTCCTCCCCCCACCATATGCGACCAGGTGGTGATGAACTGCATGGGAGCAAGTGGCTAAGGCATAGAGCATCTGAAGCTGTTGAAACCTTTTTTTTAAAAGAATTCTTGAACGACAGATTCACCCTAACAAATTCATGTGTGCATGCGCCTCACCTTTTCCCCCTCGTCCTCCCCCCCCACTCCCAAACAGGTGGTGATGAACGGCATGCGAGCAAGTGGCAAGAGCATTGCACCCCTTTTGAGGAGCCTGAAAAATGCATCCGTGCATGCGCCCCTTTTTTCCGCCCCCTCCCCTCCCCACACTCGCAACCAGGTGGTGATGATGAACGGCATGGGAGCAAGTGGCAAAGGCACGGAGCATCTGAAATTTATAAAGAGCATAAAATATGCATTTGTGCATGCGCCCCCCCTTTCCTTAACCCCCCGCGACCAGGTGGTGATGAATGGCATGGGAGCAAGCGGCAAAGGCACGGAGCATCTGAAGCTCATGACCATCATGTTCCAGAACATGTTTCCTCCCATCAACGTGTCCACTGTGAGTGGTTAATAACATGTGGCTATCTCCTTCACATGCATACAATGTGTAAGCGTCTCTGCGTCTCTCTTGATCCGACTCATCGGGGAGCATCTGAGCCTCATATGATCATCGTGTTTCAGAACATGTTTCCATCCATCCACCCATCAACGTGGCCACTGTGAGTGGTGAACCTGCAGCCATCAAGAGAGGACAGGTGGGCTGCGGAGGCCTTACTTCCATCAACTCGTGAGTGGTGAACCTGCAGCCATCGCTTCACACGCAGTGCCTCTCTGCGTCTTGAACCAACTCATCGCAGCATCCGAAGCTCATGACCATCATGTTTCAGAACATGTTCCCATCCCACCCTGCCAGTGGCACCATCGACTTGCGCCACTATGCCATCTCTGCTCGCCGCGTGGGTGGATGCTAAAGCCCCTCTTGTTCTCCGCTTCCCCTCCCCTCCACAACCACCCCTCCCATCCACCCCCCCCCCCCCCCTCCCCTGCACCAGGTGAAACTGTCAGACTGCAGGTGAGTCCTGCTGTTGACTCACGACCCTGCCAGTGGCACCATCACCATCGACCTGCATCACTACGCCATCTCTGCCCGCCCTGCAGGAGTGCCAAAGCCTCAAGCCCCTCTTGTTCTCTACTCACCCCTCCCCTTCACCAGGTGAAACTCTCTGATTGCAGGCAATTACTGCTTCTCAACCACGACCCTGCCAGTGACAAGCGCTGCCTCTCTGCCCGTGCCCGCCCCTCTGGGCATATTATGTTAAAGGCAAAAGCCCCTCTTGTTCTCCCTTTCACCTCTCCAGTCCACCAGGTGAGATTGTCTGATTGTCGGCGGGTGCTCCTCCTTCTCCATCACGACCCTGCCAGTGCTACTATCGACCTGCGCCACTACGGAGCTGACTCTTGAGTCGACTCATAAGTCAGTGGTACCATCGACCTGCGCCACTACGGAGCTGACTTTTGAGTCGACTCATAAGTCAGTGGTACCATCGACCTGCGCCACTACGGAGCTGACTTTTGAGTCGACTCATAAGTCAGTGGTACCATCGACCTGCGCCACTACGGAGCTGACTTTTGAGTCGACTCATAAGTCAGTGGTACCATCGACCTGCGCCACTACGGAGCTGACTTTTGAGTCGACTCATAAGTCAGTGGTACCATCGACCTGCGCCACTACGGAGCTGACTTTTGAGTCGACTCATAAGTCAGTGGTACCATCGACCTGCGCCACTACGGAGCTGACTTTTGAGTCGACTCATAAGTCAGTGGTACCATCGACCTGCGCCACTACGGAGCTGACTTTTGAGTCGACTCATAAGTCAGTGGTACCATCGACCTGCGCCACTACGGAGCTGACTTTTGAGTCGACTCATAAGTCAGTGGTACCATCGACCTGCGCCACTACGGAGCTGACTTTTGAGTCGACTCATAAGTCAGTGGTACCATCGACCTGCGCCACTACGGAGCTGACTTTTGAGTCGACTCATAAGTCAGTGGTACCATCGACCTGCGCCACTACGGAGCTGACTTTTGAGTCGACTCATAAGTCAGTGGTACCATCGACCTGCGCCACTACACCATCACAGCCCGTCCCATGGGAGTGTCAAAGCCGCTGCACCACCACGCACTGCCCATTCAACCCTCCCTTTCACCCTTCCTCTCCCTCCCTCCCCTTTACCAGGTGAAACTGTCTGATTGTCGGCGGGTGCTCCTTCTCAACCATGACCCTGCCAGTGGCACCATTGACATGCGTCATTATGCCATCACTGCGCGCCCTGTGGGGGTGTCGAAGCCGCTGCGCAATCTGGTGCACCACCACGCGCTGCCCAACCTCAGCCACTTGTCCGACATTAGTGAACTCGTTACTAGGTAAGAGCTCGTTGCAAGGTAAAATCTCGTTATAAGGTAAGGAGGAGTGTCGAAGCCGCTGCGCAATCTGGTGCACCACCACGCGCTGGCCAGCCTCATCCAGCCACCTCTCTGACATTAGTGAACTCGTTACAAGGTAAGAGCTCATTACAAAGTGAACATTGGTGATAAGTTTTGTCAGGACATGGGGCGGGCCGTGCGGGCGGCGCAGCAGCACATGTGTTTGTTGTGCTAACTCTCACTACCCCTCTACCGGCTCTACCCACACAGGCCGGCAGCTTACCCATCAGACAGCGAGGCGGATGAGGGCAGCAGGGTGCAGGCGCCCCAGGACATGGGGCGGGGCGTGCGGGCGGCACAGCAGAGCCAGGTGAAGCTGCACGAGCTGGGGCCACGTGTCACTCTGCTACTGGTCAAGGTGGAGGAGGGGCTGTCCAACGGTGCTGTCATGTACCACCGATTCGGTGAGCGGGGGGGGGGGGGGGGGGGAGGTGTGGGGTGTAAGGTTGGGAATATGGGGAGGAGGGTTGGGAGAGAAAGGGGGGGGGACTGGGGGAAAAGGGTATGCCTCGGTTGGTCGAGGTGGAGGAGGGGCAGAGGGGAGAGAGAGGGGCGAGAGAGGGGAGAGAAGAGGGGAGCGAGAGGGGAGAGAGGGGAGAGAGAGGGGAGAGAGAGGGGAGAGGGGGGAGAGAGAGGGGAGAGAGGGGGGAGAGAGGGGAGAGAGAGGGGAGAGAGGGGAGAGAGAGGGGAGAGAGGGGGGAGAGAGGGGAGAGAGAGGAGAGAGAGGGGATAGGGGGGAGAGAGGGGAGAGAGGGGAGAGAGAGGGGAGAGAGGGGAAAGAGAGGAGCAGAGGGGAGCAGAGGGGCAGCACTGTCTGTGCTCATTTCCTCCATGTCTTGCTGTCCTTCCCCCTCTCCTTCCCCCACTCCTTCCCCCCCTCCTTCCCCCCCTCCTTCCCCCCCTCCTTCCCCCCCTCCTTCCCCCTCTCCTTCCCCCCCTCCAGTTGAAAAGACAGCCGAGGAGGAGGCGGAGTTGCAGCGAAGGGCTGAGGAGCGGCAGAGGGAGAAGAAGAGGCGGAAAGAGGAGCAGGAGGCAAACGTGCGGAGGAAGAAAATGTGAGTGGGGAGAGCCCGAGGGGAGGGGGGAGAGGGCAGGGAGGGGCAAGGAGGGAAGGGGCAGGGCAGGAAGAGGGGAGGGGACAGGAATGGAGGTGTAGGGTGGGGTTAAATCGGACCAGGGAGATGAATGGGGGAGCAGGAGGCGGACGTGGGGAAGAAGAAGACGTGAGTGGTGGGATGTAGAGGAGGGGGGTGGTGCAGGGTAGGGTGCAGCGGATTTAGAGGCGGAAAACGTCTTAGGTTCCTGTGTTTCCTCACACCTCTCCACCCCTTGTTCTTATGACCAGGCTCCAGGCATCGAAAGTCAAGGCAGGTGGAAGTGAGGACGGGAAGCAGGATTGTCGGGATATAAGAGAAAGAAAATAATCTAAACTCAACATCATTTTTCTCCACCCTTCTCCACCCTTCTCCACCCCCTGTTCCTACCACCAGGCTCAAGGCATCCAAGGGCAAGGCGGAGGACAGCGATGGGGAGGAAGAGGAAGGGAAGGCGGTGGGGGCGAGGGAGGGCGAGGGGGAGGAGGAGGAGGAGGAGGATGACGTGGACTGGTACCGCAAGGAGGTTGGGGAGGAGCCCGATGACAGTGAGTGATCCCCGTGGGGAACTTTGTATGTAGGGGTGAACATGTTCTTTGTATCGCAAGTCCATTGTCTTCCTCGCTCTGCTGCTCCCACGCTCCAACCTCACACGGAGGAGGATGATGTGGACTGGTACCACAAGGAGGTTGGGGAGGAACCCGACGACAGTGAGTGCTGCTCCTGCTGCCCTGTACTGTCTCACCTGCTGCCCTGCGTTTACTCAAGTTCTGATTTTAAGTTGACGATTTTGTTCATTCTGGCTCTCTAATACGCTCTAGCTCACAAGCTTTCCAGGCTCTTTCAAATTTTCATTTCATGGAGTTTGCTTCGTTGTCCTAAGATACAGTTTAAGTTGATGGACATAAGACCTCCGCAGCCCACCTGTTTAACACTGACATCCCTGTACTGTCTCACCTGCTGCCTCTACCGTCTCACCTGCTGCCTCTACCGTCTCACCTGCTGCCTGTACCGCCTCACCTGCTGCCTCTACCGCCTCTCCTGCTGCCTCTACCGTCTCACCTGCTGCCTCTACCGCCTCTCATGCTTCTCGGCAATGTATATTTTCTTACCTCTGCTTTCTTTGTTAGTCATGACGGATTGCTCGCTACGATCGTATTTGTCGCGGCATACACTCTTGAAAGTCCACTGTGGCAAAAGCACTCAGTGGCAAACAAGTGCATGTCAACAGGCCACCAAACATACTCGCTCTTGCTCTTCAGCCCACCCCTCCCCGCCCTCCCTCTCCCTCCCTCTCCCAGCCTTTGTCAGAGGTGGTTATGAGGGCAGTAGAGGAGGATGAGAAAGGCTTTGCATTCACATATTCACATCTCCTGTCATTACCATGTTGTGAACTCTCCTCTCAATACTCACTCTTGCTCTTTTAACCATTCCTCCCCGCACTCACTCTCCCTCTACCAGCCTTTGTCGGGGGCGGATATGAAGGCAGTAGGGGGAGAGGCTTTGGGCGCGGCAGAGGGGGGGGAAGGGGTAGGGGGAGGGGAAGGGGGAGGGGTCGTGAGGGAGGCGGTAGAGGGGGGGAAGCAGGTGGAAGAGGGGGAGGGAGTGGGAGACGAGGGGGGCGAGGGGGAGGGGCGTGGAGGAGGGAGGGGAGGACGAGGAGGGATGAGGGGTAGGGGAAGGTAGATGGGAATGGTGTGGGAAGAAAATAGTTTACTAAGAATAGCACATGTCTGCGAGGGTCCTTCCTGAATCCCGATAAAGTAGCTCTCTTGTTGTGCAGCTTTAGGATTATGTAATAACACAGTTTGTTCATGCACAGCAAATTATTGTGGTGGTCACAAATCAGATGTATTCCTGAATAAAGCCCAAATTTGAAAAGACAATACTTTTCCAATGACATGGATAACCGAATTCAGCATGGGACTGAGAATCACCGCGTCCCACCGAACCGGACCACGGAGATAGCTCAGTTGGGAGGATAACATTAACCAACGAGTCGCACCCCTCCACTATTATTACCTTCGTACTCCCGCCTGCTTCGGCGGTTCTGCTTAGTGACTCTTACAACCACTCTTATCCCTAACTTCTCACTACAACCACTCCCGCGTCCTCATTGCGCGCTGATCAAGTGGCAAAAACTAGCTTATGCTTTGTGCTTGCGTTTGCGTCGTCCCACCCTGACTGATGAATTAGGTTTTGATGCGTTTTGAAGAAATATTTGCATCAGACTGCGTTGTCTCCTCCCTCCACCTTATCCGTTACCTCCGAATCCTCGGCAGTCACAATCGGATCTGGCGATTGGAGGTCGGTTCGGCAGACCGGACACGTGGTCCTCGTGGCGAGCCAATGGTCGATGCACGCCACGTGGAACTGATGCTTGCATGGCGGAAGGATCCTGATCAGCTCCCCCTTGTTAAAATCGCTCAGACACACTGTACATTCCGTGCTTGATAACAGCCTCTTCCGTGTAGACAACTCACCCACTAGAATTTCTGGTGTTGCGGAAAACTTAGCAGCATCGGCGTCTGAAGTTACAAATCTTGCTGTAGCAGCTGCAGCTGTGTTAATTCCCTGCGTATCCTTCTCGCCATTTCCCTCGCTTTTCTCGCCAATGGTGAGATCTCCTGCAATAGCGGGGAAAAGGCAGTACGACCACATGGGGAACGTCGCGATTCGCTCTGCGTCCAGTCCGGCCGGTGCTTGCGGAACAGCCGCACCGCTGTTAGTACCCGGCGACGGCGACGACGCGTCTTCCCTCGCTTGGCGACCAGCGGCACGTCGCAGAATGTATACAATCCACGAGTAGTAGCGATCTGCGAATACCACAAGAGAGAGAACCACAATAATGGCCAAGACGCAACCTATCACGAGGCAGTACGTAAGCGCGTTTCCACCCCCCGCCACTGCTCCCGCTGCGCCCACTGCGCCCGCCGGCGCTGCCACTGGCGGTACTACCACTGGAACCGCTTCTGTGGCAGATAGCGGTCTTCGATCCGACAGCTCGGCTTGCCGCTGCGGGGAACGCGGATCGACGCGTGGCGGAGACGAGCCGCGGGGACCCGGCGGAGGCAAGGGAAGCGCGGCCGGAGAAGCCATGACTAGGTGAAGTTGAGTGTCGCAGGGGCTCTCGATCACCCTTGGAGAATGGACTCGAGCTGTACAGTAGCTTTGAAGACACCGTTGGTATTATGAACCGTCATTTTTGTCCGACGGTTTATATTTTCCCTTGATAGGTGTTATCCAGCATAGGTGTTCTGGGCCAGAACTTCCGGCGAGCCCATGTTATCCAGTGCAGTGCACGGGAAGAATTGCAACCAATGCAAGCACATGCCAGTATCCAGCTGACCTGTCAGAGAAGCACGACGTTCAGGTTGAATGTCAGTCAAGTACTGTACTCATGTCTCTAGAATTCTCGTCTCGAGGCCATAGATTCCACTCGAGCGCCAAGTACAGCAAAGGTAACACACGTGTGAAAAAAGTCGGCAGTTCTGTTCCTTACCTCGGAAAAAATAGTGTCCAGTACACATCAAGCCGACGAACTGCTGAGTCTGGAGGCACACTGCACAGTCTAGTGGTTGGGATAAGGACAAACTACTAGACTTGGAAGTGTCACCGATTTGTTTTCCATTTCTGCTCAAAACCTTTGCAACTGTAGAAGGGTGTGACAGGAGGAGTTGGCGTTTCCATTGCAGTGGGCGTACTAGTGCGCGCATCTTCGGCTTGGCGAGGAACCCCATTTGAAAAAGGGCAGGATGAATGTGGTGCCTGGGGGGGAAATGGAAACGAAGGTCGTCGAAGCGAAGGTTACTAGGGATTCAGTTCGGTTAAATTGGGTTGAATTGGGTGTTCGGCTCGAGGCTAAAATGGAACCTCCATCAAATAAGCAAAATAATACCTACTGATGTGAGATAAGGCAGGAACAAACATTAAAAAAACCTACTGTTATGCAATTAACTCTGCAGGGCTAGAGCCGAGGTTGGGATGGGATGGGAATGGGGCAGCTAAGCAGCTATACCAGATGGACGCAGGGAACCTAAGTAAGTATCATTCCCTGATTACTGACTGTGAGGGTCGAATGTGGTTTGTTTATTGGAGTTGTCTATTATGGGAAGAGGGAGAGTGGGAGGTGACCCACTTGCCGGCGACCGAGCTGTGTGGGGAGGAAGGGAGAGTGAGGGTAAGGGAGAGAGGCAAGAGAGGGCTGTATGAGTATGTGAGGCCTGTATGAGTATGTGAATTGTCAGTTGACACTGTGGTGGGGAGGGTGTTGGGGGGGTATAGGGGGAGTGCAGCATGAGAGGGCTGCATGAGTGTAGGGATTGTAGCCTGACGCTGCAGTCTATTACGGGAAGAGAGAGAGTGGGAGGTGTCCCACTTGCCTGCGCCCAAGCTGTGCGGAAGGAGGGCGAGTGAGGGTAGAGGAGGGAGCAGAGGGCTGCATGAGTGTAGGGATTGTAGCCTGACGCTGCAGTCTCTTACGGGAAGAGGGAGAGTGGGAGGTGTCCCACTTGCTGTGCGGAGAGAAGGGGGAGAGGGGGAAGAGGGAGAGAGCGGCACGAGAGGGCTGCACGCATGCACATTGGACTTGTCCGATGAATCGGTGGTTGCTACAGGAAGAACGCGAGTGAGAGGTGACCCACTTACGTGCAACCGAGCTGTGTGGGGAGGGCAGCGATTGAGGGTAGAGAGAGGGAGCTAAATGAGAACAATGATCACAAGAGTGGTAATGGTAGTGTAATTAATAGTAGGAATTGATTGATTGTCGTAGGATAAGACTTGGTGCTGAAGAGTGGACAGGCAGAGAGGGAGGGGAGGAAGGCCACAGCAAGTAATCAGCAATGGCATGAGAGTGGACGGATTGAAAGGGTGTGGGTGGGGAGTGGGGAAGAGAAAACGGAAGGAAGTGCAGGGATAGTGGGGATCAAATGACTGGTGGAAACGGAATGGATGGACTAGCAGTGAGTGGGAAAGGGTAGAAAGAAGGAGAGTTGATGTGTAACCCAACGGGTGGGGAGGGCAGAGAGACAGAGAGAATCGAATCTAGAGAAAGTGGAATCGAGGGGGATAAGGTCCGATCTTGGGATGTTCTTTAGTGTAGGGCCACTAAAAGTGTAGGGCCCCTAAGGAAACAAGTTAGCAGTTTCAAAATGAGGGCGGATGCGAATTTGTGAAACATGTAGGGGGATGGGGGAGTGTAGAATGGGGGTGGTTAAGAGGGCACGGAAGAATTAGAAAGAAGCACAGAAAAGGAAGGTGTAGCTGATCATTAGGCGGGCAAAACTGGAGGTAATCGTTTGAGGCAAATCAAGGGTTTAAGGCTCTGAGCTCTGGCAATTTGTGGATACCTAAGCGAAGGTAATACGTGAATACCTAAGCGAAGGTAATTCGTGAATACCTAAGCGAAGGTAATTCGTGAATACCTAAGCGAAGGTAATTCGTGAATACCTAAGCGAAGGTAATTCGTGAATACCTAAGCGAAGGTAATTCGTGAATACCTAAGCGAAGGTAATACGTGAATACCTAAGCGAAGGTAATTCGTGAATACCTAAGCGAAGGTAATTCGTGAAGACCTAAGCGAAGGTAATACGTGAATACCTAAGGGAAGGTAATTCGTGAATACCTAAGCGAAGGTAATTCGTGAATACCTAAGCGAAGGTAATTCGTGAATACCTAAGCGAAGATAATTCGTGAATACCTAAGCGAAGGTAATTCATGAATACCTAAGCGAAGGTAATTCGTGAATACCGTGGTATCTGGACTCTGGCATGTGGTGGATGGTACAATACTCACACTCTCCCCCCCCTCAAACACACACGCATACCCACCCACCCACACACTCCCACACCACACCCACACACACACACCCCTCCCCCTCCCCCCACACACACACTCATCACACCTGAACAATCACTCCTCGGAACGTCCCGGTCTGGTATGGCGACACTTGGCATGTCTGGACGGCACCCATCCATGGGTAAAAGGAGTAATTGGGGGGGGGGGGGGAGGGGAGGAGAGTTGCACAAAGTGAGCAATGGAGGAAACACCTGAAAAATCACTCCTCGAAAAGTTCCGGTCTGGTATGGCGAGAGTTGGCACGTCTGCACATCAACCATAGTGGTAACAGAGTAATGGGGGCGGGTGGGAATAGAGAGGCACAAAGTGAGCAACAGAGTGCAACCCTGAAGATGACTCCTCGAAAGGTCCCTGTCTGGTATGGTGAGACTTGGCACGCCTGTATAGGACGCATGGGAGAAGCGAGTAACAGAGGGTGGAGGAGAGTGGCCATAACAGTTTTTAGGCGCCTCGAAAATAGACCAGTCAGCACGGGAGCTGCAGTGTAAAGATCGTAGCAACTCATGGGTGGAGTGGGGGAGAAACACAATTGCACCGACTGACATCTTTCCTTACAATCACGTCAAGTCAACACACCTTCTGTGCCTGGTTAGAGAGAAAAAAAACCAGCAATTTACGTATGCTTGCCTAGTGACTTATGAGTCGACTCGATAGTCACCTGCAACACTGTATGCGAACACTGTATGCGAACACTGTATGCGAACACTGTATGCGTACACTGTATGCGTACACTGTATGCGTACACTGTATGCGAACACTGTATGCGTACACTGTATGCGTACACTGTATGCGAACACTGTCTCGACGAATGCTTTGTGTAGCATTGATGATTGTATTATGAAAATTTCTGCACACTCCTTGGAGTTACTGTTGAACATGATGTAAGCAGGCCCCACCACCTCCTTGGCGTGCTTGGCTTGTTGCAGTGAGCAGCCATGCTTGACTTTAAGTACCTTAGTCAGCTGAACACACTTGAGGCCGCACCTTGGAGTTGCTGTTGAACTTGATGTATGCGAACCCCACCACCTCCTTGGCGTGCTTGGATTGTTGCAGTGAGCAGCATCAGTAAGGTACCTTCGAGTCAGCTGAACACCACGTAAGGTCCCATTGTGACATGTGTCAAATCGAATGTCACCTTGGAGTTGCTGTTGAACTTTATGTAAGCAGGCCCCACCACCTCCTTGGCGTGCTTGGCTTGCCACTCCACCAGAAGCCCCCCCGGTTGATCCAACAGAGCCTGCTTGGTTCATACAAGTGGCAGTTGAGAGGTACGAGTGAAGTAAAGGGGTTGGAAGGCCGGACGACTAGTTGGTTTCAAAGCCTTCACTAAACCCACCACCTGCTTGGCATGCTTGGCCTGCCACGCCACCAGGAACCCCCCAGGTTGATCCAATAGAGCCTGCCTAGTTTGATTCAATAGCAGTTGAGAGAGGTACGGAAGGGTGGAAAGGGGATTGAAGGGATGAGTGAGTGGTTGTTGAGAAATCTCCAAACACCACCACCTCCTTGGGGTGTTTGGCTTGCCATGCCACCAGCACCAGCAACCCCCCGGGCAGACCCAACAGAGCCTGCTTGGTTCAAACAAGTAGCAGCCGGGAGTTACGGAACGACGATGGCAAAAGGATAGGGTTGGGCCTGGAGTGAGAGGCAGAGATGGTGCTGTTACTTGGCAGGCAGGGAGGGATTGAAGTACGAGGGTGGTGTGGCGTGTGGGAGAATGGAACAGAGGGACGCAGGCAGTGAAGTGAAGCAAATTAGGGAGGCACGTTAGGTTAGGGTTCATTCATGCTGTCGTGCGTATGGAAATCCCGATTCACGCCACTGAGAGTTATTTGAGGCGCATCATAAAAAGAATCATAAATAGAGTCATAAAAATATATCCTGGACTGCATGATGGCACTCGCAGGGTCACTGTTACTGCAGCCAAAAGCAAGTACATACTGACCAAGAAACTGTTTTTCTGTGAAACACGGAGCATCCTTTTACACTGCCTTGCCAATGCCAATGAGCAACAATGTGCCAACGCATGCGCATACTTGCACATCCTGGCTCAGATACAGGGTAACATGGTTACCATCACTCACAGGTTCAGGTCAGCCAAGGGTGACCAGGTACGGGCTGAGATAGGCGAAGCTTAACAGGGTAACAGCCGTAACAGCAGCAACGGCACTCACAGGGTCAGCACAGCCAGCCAAGGGCGAGTAGGTACTGGCGGAGAGAGGCGAAGCCCTCCTCCACAGTTCCTTGTGCTCACAGAGTAGCAGGGTAACCAACACTCACAGGGTAACAGGATAATCAGCACTCACAGGGTAACAGGGTAGCCAGCACCTTATGGGGTAACAGGGTAGCCGGCACTCACAGGGTTAACAAGGAACCAGCACTCACAGGGTTAACAGGGTAACCAGCATTTATAGGGTGAGCACAGCACAACCAAACCAAGGACGACCAGGTAAGGTACTGTACTGGCGGAGGGGAGCAACGCCTTGTTCTAATCCATGCCTTGCGAATTGAAAACAATGTGCTGCCGCGTGTGTATACTTGTGGGTCGTTGACTCAGTAACAACAGGGTAACAGGGTAATGGGGTAACCGGCACTCACGGGGTCAGCACAGCCGAGGGCCAGCAGGTACTGGCGGAGGGCGGCAAAGCCCTCCTCCACACTGCCGCAGCAGATGCCAAGCAGCGGGCGGGCGGTTTCGTCTCGTAGTGCGGCCTTGGCGGCTAGCAGCAGAGAGGCCTTGAGGGCGGCAATGCCCCCTGGGGTTGCCAGGGAGACCTACGGAGGGAGGGAAAGTAACAAGTGATAGAGGGAGGTTAAGCAGGCGGAAGCAATGTCCTTCGAGAGCAGCAGAGAGCAGCAGAGAGCAGCAGAGAGCAGCAGAGAGGCCTTGAGGGCGACCTGGACTGGAAGGGGGAGCAGGGGGGTGGATAGGGGAGGAAGGGAAGCAGGGGTGAACATTGTGCTTTCAGAGGCTTGACAGCAGAGGCTTGACAGCAGAGGCTTGACAGCAGAGGCTTGAGGCTCAAGGGCCGCAATGCACCCTTGAGGTTGCTTGCCAGGGAGAATCAGGTAGGGAGGGAGGGAAGCAGGAGGGTGGGTAGGGAGGGAAGGGAAGGAGGGGAGGGGCGATGTTGTTCGTCGAAAGGCTTGAGAGCAGCGGAGGAAAGGACTCTAGGGCCGCAATGCACCCTGGGGCTGCGAGAGAGACCTGGATAGGGGGTGGGGGAGAAGGGGGATGAGCGTGAATATGTATAGAAGGGAAGCGGAGGGGTGTGGTTGACAAGAAGGCTTGAGAGCAGCATTGAGGCCTTATGGGCGGAAATGCCCTCTGGGGTTGCCAGGGAAACCTGGATAGGGAGGGAAGGGAAGAAGTGGGGCGGGTGGGGAGGGGATGTGACTCGAAAGCCTTGGGAGCAGAAAACAAGGCTCGCGGATGGCAACGGCGCCTGTGGTTGACAGGGACACCTGGCTGGGGAGTGAAGGCAAGCAGGGGATGGATAAGAAAGGGCTCTGAGAGCCCTGAGGCTGAGGGTGGTGTGTGAATGCAGAGCAGAGAGAAGGCTCGAGAGCTGGAGCAATGCCCCCTGAAGTTGCCGAAGGCATTTGATTGGGGAATGTGAAGGCAAAGGGGGTGGATACGGAGAGCTCTGAGAGCCCCCCAGGGCTGGAGAGCCCCCTGAGGCTGGGGGTGAGGTGTGAATGCAGAGACCATTTTTGAGACGCCTCAAGGAGAAGGAGAGCTCTGAGAGCCCTGATGCTGGGGGTGATGTGTGAATGCAGAGACCATTTTTGAGACGCCTCAAGGAGAAGGAGAGCTCTGAGAGCCCTGATGCTGGGGGTGAGGTGTGAATGCAGAGACCATTTTTGAGACGCCTCAAGGAGAAGGAGAGCTCTGAGAGCCCTGAGGCTGGGGGTGAGGTGTGAATGCAGAGCAGAGAGAAGGCTCGAGAGCTGGAATGCCCCTAGGGATGCCTGAATAGAGAGGGAAGAAGGGGGTAGGTGGCAACTGGGATGGAGTGGGCGGCAATGGGGATGGGGTGGGCGGCAATGGGGGTGGAGTGGGCGGCAACGGGGATGGGGTGGGTGGCAATGGGGGATGGGTTGGGACAGGGACGGTGGGGACTCGATCATAGCCGTTTGTGCGGGTCCCTTGGCGCGCCTCCCTGCGGCTCGCTGCACACATCTAAGCCTACCTGCGGTTCGCCGCGCACGTCTCGTCGGTTAAAGTCGTCCAGAATCTCCCACGCCGCCGCCTCCACCGCTGCAGCATCCGCTTCACTCACATCCGCTTCAGTCACATCTGCAGAGGCTGCGGGTCCGTCGGCTGCTGCCGCTGCGATCAATCGCGTTGATCCTCTCCGTTCCTCGCGGACGAGTCTAAACGGCGCTAAACTAGTAACGGTCCGCTTTCGCGACGCCTCGTATACGCGACGCGCGGCTTTATTCGTGCAAATATGAGCCACTTTAGTACTATTATTGATGACAGAAACGCACGCGACGCCGACCGCCGTGGCGTATGCTGGGGCCGCAAGAGCGGCGCGACTTGTCATGGCGCCGCCGGATGCGGCTGCGCCGCCTATTTGACGGTTTCGGACGGACGGCGACGATACGGCCGCCGGCGAGCGAAACTGCGTCAAGCAGGCATTGTTGACGGACGAAGGGAGTGCTGTCGCGTCCATGGCTGGTGCAAGTTTTGCTGCTTCTTAGCTTGAATGTCAGCTTTGAGAATATGGCGGTGCGAGGTTGGGCGCAGGTTTGCGGCGTTGGTGACACGGAGGGATGACACATGATTGAAACAAACAAAACTTGGAAGTGTGCAGGCTGGCCCAGGCAGTGTTCACTTGTCCCATATTTTGACTTGGAGTCCTGGGATTTTGAAACCGTCAGATTGTTGGCGAAAGCGAAACCCTAAGTTGTTACCATCAGTCGCATGTGGATGGCGCGACACCGCTCACCCAATTCATTTCGCGCTTCGTGCTGACGAAACGGATGCTCGCACCCATCGCCCTTGAACACTCTCTGTCCTTTTGGTTCATGTGTGTTTGTAGAAAGGAATGACTCGAGCAGCGCCGACTTGAGCGCGTGTAATTTTAGGGTTAGCTTCTTTGATTGTTGTGTCCGCCTTTTGCGCTAGTCGCCATCGTTGATTACCATACTCACTGCTGTTTCGGTGACGCAAACTTCGTTGCGACGCGCATTTGCTGCGACGCTTCCCTGCGACGCACGTTTCCCCGCGACGAGAAATTCAGCGATCCCGTCGTGCGACACCATGCCGGTGCAGCAGAAGCGGCAGTTTCGGAAGCGGAAAGCGCTCGAGGAGGAGGACGGGGATGGCGGAGGGGAGCAGGAGGAGCAGAAAGACGTACGGTACGCGCTATACCGTCTTTCGTCCCTCGTTACAGTTAACCGCACATAGTTTTGGCAGAGTTCAGATTGACCGAAGCGCTAGTGGCAGCGAGAGGCGGGAGATGGCGGAGGAGAGCCCGAGGAGCAGTAAGGACGTCCGATTCGCACTAGACCGCCTTTCTTGTGGCGTTACGGTCAACCGCACGTAGGTTTGGCAGCACTCACATTAACCGTAGCACTGGTGGCAGCGAGAGGACGGGGATGGCGGAGGGGAGCCCGAGGAGCAGAAGGACGTCCGGTACGCGCTAGACTGTCTTTCGTTCCTCGTTACGGTTATTCGTATCTAGGTTCGACAGCGCTTACATTGACCGTAGCACTGGTAGCAACGAGAAGAGAGGGATGGCGGAGGGGACCCCGAGGAGCAGACGGACGTACAGTATGCGCTGTACCGAGTTTTCCTCCGTACCTAGCTTTTATCGTATCTAGCTTTGGCCGTACCTAGGTTCGGCCGTACCTAGGGTTGAACGTATCTAGGTTTTACCGAGCCTGATTCGGTCAAACCTATTCTTCACCAAACCTATGTCGGGCCGTCGACCGTTCGATGCAACGAGCTGCAAAGACGCGTCATTTCGTCCCTCAGCGCCGCTCCCCTTGCCCCGAGTCGTCCGCCGCTCATATTACCCGTGCTCTCGTTTATCCACGCGTGCGAGGGCGTCGTGTCGCGCCATCTGCTTCGCCCGTCGCTTCATCCGCCTGCTCCGCTCCACCGTTGCACTCACACGCATCCCCTCCCTGGTCCCCCATCCCCTCCCTGGTCCCCCATCCCGCTTCTTACTCCTTTTCCTCTCGCCCTTCCCCTTTTCCTCTCGCCCTTCCCCTTTTCCTCTCGCCCTTCCCCTTTTTGTACGTATTCCACAGCTCCACGTTAGAGGAAGTCCGTCTGCTGCAGCAGCAGCGCTCGCGCCTCAACTCCACAGCTCCTTCCCCCTTCCCTCCCCCCCCTCCTCTCCCTCCCCACCTCCCCCATCTTTCCTCCCTGCAGCCCCGCGCTAGAGGAAGTCCGCCTGCTGCAGCAGCAGCGCGCGCGCCTGTCCTCATGTTGACCACACAATGTGTTCTGCAAACACCCCCTTACCGCTCCCAACCCGTTTCCATCTCCCCAGGTCCGCCCTAGAGGAAGTGCGCCTGCTGCAGCAGCAGCGTGTGCGCCTTAAGGGGATTGCAGCAGACGGGGCGCTCACAGGCGCAGAAGGGGCGGAGGGGAAGGGGGGAGGCGCGGGGGCGCAGGGGGAGGCGGGGGAAGAAGGGGAAGGAGGGGAAGAGCTGGTTCTGCAGGACACGTTTGCGCAGGAGACGGCGATTACTGTAGAAGATCCGAACATGTACGTGACTGTAACGAGATGGGACCGTAACGAGATGGAACTGTAACGAGATGGGAGTGTAACTGTACGAGGAAACAAGAGGAAAACAATCAGCATTAAGGTTCTACCTAGCATCGATCGAATTTGGAAGGCCGTCACTGCCTCCCCAAACGTGCGCACTGTTTCCCCTTCCTTGTTATGTTTCTAGCTCCCCCTGCGTGCCCAAGTGCGCGCCCTCTCCTCTGCCCCAGGCTCAAGTACATTGAGGGAAGGGCTTAAAATACAATTCCAAATTCGAACCTCTCACTCGCCCCACCCCACCCATGCTCTGACCGCCCGAACCCTCATTATTGCCCAAGCGTTTGTTCCTTCCTCCGCCCCATGTTCACAAGTGCATTGAGGAGGAGCTGGTAACGTGCACAGGGGGTGTTGAGGCCCATGCCCTGATCGCCCATGCCCTGATCGCCCATGCCCTGATCGCCCATGCCCTGATCGCCCATGCCCTGATCGCCCATGCCCTGATCGCCCATGCCCTGATCGCCCATGCCCTGATCGCCCATGCCCTGATCGCCCATGCCCTGATCGCCCATGCCCTCCTCCCCTCCCCCTTCCCGCTCCTCCCTCTCTTCTCCCCCTTCCCAGGCTCAAGTGCATTGAGGAGGAGCTGGCGAAGCGCCGAGGGGGAGCTGAGTTGAGCCACATGCCCCAGTCGTGCATGCCCCATGCCCCATGCCCCATGCCCCATGCCCCATGCCCCATGCCCCTCCTGTGACCTGTCCCTCCACACTGGTCCCCCCCCCCAGGCTCAAGTACATTGAGGAGGAGCTGGTGAAGCGCCGAGGGGATGTTGCGTTAAGCTCGATGCCCTGACCCTCATGCCCCATGCCCCCCCTCCCCCTCTCCCCACTTCCTGGTTCCCTTTCCCCCCCGCCCGCCCCTCTGCCCCTTCCCCCCCCCTCAGGCTCAAGTACATTGAAGAGGAGCTGGCAAAGCGCCGAGGGGGAGGGGCGGGGGCAGCGGGGGGCAGCAGGGGGGAGGGGGAGGGGGATGATGAAGTGTTGCGTGCTGAAGACAAGCTGTACGAGATTCCACAGCACTTGCAGGTGATTATAACAATGTTACTAGTTAGCAGGTGATTATAGCGAATGCTCACTGCAGCATCTGGCGGTCATTACTTTCTTTACTGCCTATATGATGTTTCCCCGGGCAGGCGTATTAAGGCATCTCACTGTAGTTGGGGATGCTGCTGGTGTAGTGGCTGCAAGAAACGTTTAACTTCTGAGGCGCTTTTAAAAAATGACTGTAAGAATCGTCAGTGCAGAGCGAGCAACCTGTAACCACTCACTTTCCAACCCAGCTGCTCAGCAAAGAAACATGAGAGACAAGAGAGCATCCATGAAACAAAGGTTTTTGAAAATCAACACTTTTTTCGCGCTCCGTCCCTGCACTCTATCCTAGCAGGTGCGGAAGCTGGAAGGGGGGTGGGTCAATCTTTTAGTTGACTCAGTGGTTTCAATCTGTTCCCACTTAATCCTGTCAGATAGACTCCCAGATTGGATTCATGACTTTTTTAGCTCACAAATCCTATCAGGTTGGGAAGCTGGAGGAGGTGGGACGGAACAGCAAGGACCATCGGCAGCAATCTTTGCTGATGCTTTTCCCCCCTCCCGATCTTCTTCCTTCCTCTGTTTTGCTGTGCAGGTGGGAAAGCTGGAGGGGGAGGAGGGTGGAACCGCGTGGACGACGGGCATTGCGGAGGTGCAGCTCCCTATTGAGTGAGTTGGGAGAAGGATTGAAGAGGAAGATTGAGCAGAGAGATGCACTGGTTGGGAGCAAGGGGCGTGTTGTCATGAGAGGGGGAGGGGCGTGGCACAGCATGGGCGACGGGTATTGCGGGGGTGCAGCTCCCTATCGAGTGAGTTGGGAGATGCGTTGGGAGCAAGTGGAGAGGTGATTTGAGTTGCGAGTGAGGTGCAGTCAGAGAGAGAGAGAGAGAGAGAGAGAGAGAGAGAGAGAGAGAGAGAGAGAGAGAGAGAGAGAGAGAGAGAGAGAGAGAGAGAGAGAGAGAGAGAGAGAGAGAGAGAGAGAGAGAGAGAGAGAGAGAGAGAGAGAGAGAGAGAGAGAGTGCAGCCGTGGAGGGTGTCACAACCGAACAGCAGGGTTGATGGGCATCAAAGGTGCAGCTGCACCATCAAGAGTGAGATGGGAGGGGGATTGATTGAACGATGCGTTGGGCACAAGTGGCGAGGTGAGTGTTGAGAGGGAGTTGCACAGAAAACAACGCAGGAGGGAAGAGCAGTGTGGAAGCTTGGAAGTCGCTCCCAAGGGAGTACCGCAACGTGCGTGTTGTGAACACAATGTTTAGCACCGCAAACCCTCCCAACCTTCCTGCTACAAGCTTAACTGGGACTTATTCAGTCCGTTTCCCTTCCTTCCCCCTTCCCCCTTCCTCATCCCTGTCCCATCCCAGCTACAAGCTGGGCAACATTGAAGCCACGGAGGAGGCCAAGCGCATGCTGCATCATCTTACCACGACCCCCTCTCTCTCCTTTCTTCCCTCTCCCGTCTTCTCCTCTTCCCCTCGCCCTTCCTCCCAGCTACAAGCTGGGCAACATCGAGGCCACGGAGGAGGCCAAGCGCATGATGCAGGAGAGACGGCCGTGGATGAACCGCCCGCGGTATGGCTTGTTTCTCTGCTGGGGAGAGAGAAGGAAAGAGGGTTGGTTGCATGGGGCTGTTAAGGCCAGTGCGTTGACATGGGTGCATGCTGCAGGAGAGAAGGCTGTGGATGAACCGCCGCGGTATGGCTTGCCCTTGTGGGTGGGGACAGGGCGTGTTGGGTTGGGTGCATGCTTTGGGATGTTGACTCGGTCAACTCACAAGTCATGAAAGCGCATGCTGCAGGAGAGAAGGCCGTGGATGAACCGCCGCGGTATGGCTTGTTTCTTCCTTGCGGAGGGGGAATTGGAAACGGGAATGGGGGCAAGGGCGGAATGGAGATGGGGGGAGGGAGGAGTAGGGCCTTTATTTTTGTGTGTGTTTGTGTTTTTTTTTTTTTTTTTTTTTTGCTAGGTACCGCCTATTTCTGTTCTTCCACCCCTTTTCTCAAGCAAGGGGCGCTGTTGAAACAAACATATTCTCAAAATTGTCATTGTCTGATGCACATCGATCTGCACGTTTGTTTGGTACCGCTTATTCCCATGCTTCCTCCCCATGTCTGCTTAACAGGAAGTTCCTTTGAAGTTGCCTCAAAAGTCACATTCTCTTTGGTATTTCTTCGTCGTGCCATCTGTCTGCCGATTCTCATCCTTCCTCAAGCACCTTTCCGATTCCTTCACGCTGCTTTTATATCTGCCTGTTTCTCCCTTTCTTTGTACCTGCTTTTCTGTTCTCTGCCTCTTCTCCCGCCCTCCAGCCCTCCGTCCACAACGCTGCCTGCCAGCTACAGTGCAGACTTCTTTCAGCGCGGTCGTGAATACGCGGAGAAGCTTAAAAGGGGTACGTGTCCCGGGACTGCATTGCACTCCGCCATCCTTGGCAATCCTCTTTGTCGTCTTGGCTTCCTTGCTCCAAGTCTCTTCCTCGCCCATTTTTTCCAAACCACCACCACTACCCACCTCTCTCCACCACTACCCACCTCTCTCCACCACATCCCTCCACCACTCCAAGTCTCTTCCTCGCCCATTAGCATGTCTCAAAACACAAGTGCTGGACACAATCACACTCGTGACTCGTGCCCCCATGAGTGCTGGACACAATCACACTCATGACTGTCGGACCCCCATGCTTCCGCCTCCCACTCACCCCATCGTCCCTGATGTTTTTCCTTGCTGTGTCAAGCTGCAACACGTTCACTCCTTGTCCCCTTTCTTGCCCCGCCCCTTGCCCCTCCCCTTGTCCCCTTTCTTGCCCCGCCCCTTGCCCCTCCCCTTGGCCCCTGCTCCAGACAACCCCGACATGTTTCGAGACTCGAGAGGGGGAGGCCGTGGGGGCAGGGGAGGCGGAGGGGGAAGAGGAGGGGGAGGGGGGTACGGTGGGGGGGATCCGTATCAGCAGGGAGATGGGGGCGGAGGGGGGTATGGGGGTGGGGGCGGGTATGGGGGTGGGGGTGGGTATGGGGGTGGAGGCGGTGGGGGGAGAGGGGGAGGGGAGAGGCGGCAGGCAGCAACGGATGATCTTATATTGGAGCGGTTTAGGAAGCGGGAGAGAAACCGAGTCATGCGCCGGTAGTGCTGCTTGTGATGCTGGTGCTTCAAGGGTGGGGTGGGTGGGTACAGTGGTGTAGGTACAGTGGTGGTGGGGACAGGAGCAGCAGGCAGAAACGGATGATCTTGTGTGGGGGAGGTTCAGGAAGCGGGAGAAGATCCGAGTCATGCGCCAATAGCATGTGCTTGCTCGCCCTTCTGCTGCTGCTGCTGCCAGTGGTGCTAGTGTTTCTCGGTGCGGCCAGCGCTTTGAGTGCCGCCGCTGCTGCTGGTGCTACCAGCGAAATGACCCGATTTGTGACCCAGTCGCAGCACAGTTGTGAGACGTCTCGGAAAAGGAACTTCATTAATGCCTCACGGCATGGCACTACGCAATGCAGTTGCCCTGATCCTCTTCCATCAATGATGCCTGGGCCTCTTGTCCATTTGTGAAGCACCTTGTGCCAGTTTGACGTGTGAGTTACACTGCAGGGGCCGCTTGCCGCATAGTGAACGGTATGGCAGCAGCAGTACTGAGCACTGATCGGTATTTTGTATGTACATATTCTGTGGTGACTACAGTGACTGTATTCCGTTACACAACCTAACACCCAGGGCTGATTTTATCAGACTAAAATGGTCTGATTGTCTGATCTGACAGACTATTTTTCAATGGTTCCTGATTTTCCAGACTTGGTGATTTTCCAATAATGAGCACCTCAGAGTTGTGGTTTTCCGAATACTGAGAATTTCAGAGTATTGCCTATGCCAATAATGATCCCTCAGACTAAGTAGCGTACGGATCCTGGAAACCGGATATGTACGTACTAGGAAGCTTCCGCAACGTCACATGTTGCCGTGCCATCATGACAATCTCCTTGCTGTCACATGCGAAATCTGAACTTGGCAAATTTGCCACCCCTTGACCGACTCGGTGCCCCCTGTGCCACGCTGCACGTGGCAACCGTGATATCTCTGCAACGCTGTGTCAGCGGGAAAGCTGCACCGTGCCATCACTACGCGCTCTGTCCTGCACGGTACAGCACTGCAGAGGTGACGGGCATGGCGGCTCGAGACCAACGGCAACAGCCAGCCACCCATCAATTGGTTTGAGGACCACGGGGTCCTTCTTCTTCATAGCTCCCTTCACCACGCTGACTATGTTTCCTCGGCTGGCTCTCCCAGCAGTGTTCCAGTTAGTGCTCGAGTGACTCCTCCCATGACGGACCAAGAACGCGACCGGCCCGATTCACCTGATGCTGACCACCCTACTACCAAGGAGGGTGTGGGTAGGTCGGGGCTAGACTGCCTACGCCCCGCAGCAACGGCGGTCATACACGATACTGTTCCTGCCACCACGCCTGCCTCCCCTACGCCAACTCCAATAGTCTTAGCGCCCGCCATAGCGTCGTCTAGTAAGGGCCCCATCCCACTCACCGTGCGCACTGCATCTACCGTTCGGTACAGCGTGCCGTCAGTCACCAAATCAGTTGCGCAGAAGCGTAGTACCCAGAAATGGGTTCAGAGCACGATGGTTACTGGCGGTAGATTCCGCAAACCATCTCCACCCCCTTCAGCGCCGGCTGTGGCCACGCCCGACAAGCCACCTCCTCCTAAGTTGTCTAAGAAGGAGGAGATTGAGCAGAAGTGGCTTCTGGCTGAGGCGAATTACCACTCGAAGTGGCTTCCGTTTTTCCCATGGCTTCTGCTTGTGCGTGCCCAGGATGGGCATCCCTCGCTCAAGTGCTGCATCTGCCGTGCCTTTGGCAAGGAGACCACCAAGTATTCAGGCCCTGGCGACGGAGCGCGCGACTTACAAACGCAGACGATGCGGATACACGAGCACTCCAACGTCCACAAAGAGGCAGTGGAGCGGCAGTTGGAGATCGAAGAGTCGCTGGACGGCAAGCAGAAGAAGATCGACGATTTCACAACGAGGGACGTGGAAGGGCGGAGGGTGATTCGCCTTCTGCGTGCCACTGAGTTCATCTGTAAGGTCGATGCTCCAATCTCGATGTTCGCTCGCCTCCTACGTTTCATGTCTGAGCAGGACACGCCGGACATTCCAAGGCAGGCGTACGGCGTGTATCTTACTCGGTGAGTACCGCGTGTGCCTTCGAGTTAATCAAGTACTCACTACTTCAAATACTAACGCATTTATGTGGCACTGTTTCCATGCAGTTACGGGTTCCAAGAGATGGTGCACTGCCTTTCGTCTCTGCTTCTCTCAACTCAGCTGCGACACATCCAGAGCTCTCCGTTTTTGGGCATCAGCTGCGACGAGAGCACGGATCGCACGCGAGGGAAACACCTCATCATCTACTTAACGTTCCTTCGCTTCAACCGGCCCGTTACTGAGTTCTTTGCACACCTACCTGTTGAGAAGGGTGACGCGGCGTCCCTGCTCTCAGTCATCATGAGTCATCTGCAGACTGTCGGAGTGGACATCAACCGCATCTGCGCTATCAGCACCGACGGTGCATCGGTGATGGTTGGGTGTGACAACGGCCTGGTCCCTCGTCTACGGGAGTACATCCCTCACCTGATCTCCTCACATTGTATCGCGCACAGGTTAGTTGGTTCCACGGTTATCTATATTGCCCATGAACATGTACCTTGTACGCTTTACTAACCGATTACCTCTTTTGAATGTGCTTGTGCAGGGAGGCGTTAGCAGTTAAGGACGCTGCCCTTGCATGCCCAGATCTGGACATGATTGACAGAGTGATTCGGGCTGTGGCATCTCTACTGACGAACTCCAGCAACGTCAGCCAGCGCTTTCAGTACCTGCAGCGCACGATTCACAAAACCAACCTTGAAGTTCAAGGCATCCACGCGGTCAGGTGGCTATCGCGCGGTGTGGCTGTCCGTCGTTTCTGCAAGGTCCTCGGTGCATCGATCGTGCTCTTGCATGAGAGCAAGCACAAGTTGTACGAGACCGTCACCTCGTATAAGTTTCAGTTCTGCCTTTTCTTTCTTGCAGATGTGCTTGGCATCATGAACGAGCTCAACGTGAAGTTTCAGAAGCGTGAGGTAAGGTTGACCGCATTGTTCCCTTGTATCCTAAACCACCTCTGTTCTAAACCGTTACTAACATGTCTTGCACACCTCCCCATCCGAATCAGGTCGACGTGACCGAGATCGCCAAGGACATTGACGAGGCCACCGGGGACTTGCGCAGGCGCTACCTGGAGTGCGAGGACTTGTTGGGCGGCGGAGAAAGCCCGGCACTGTCTGAGTTCCTGACATTGCACGGGAAGGTTCCGAAGAAGAAGGTGAAGGTGCGCGGAGTTGACAGCGAAGGTGAAGCAGTGACGCACAAGTACAAGCTTCATGAGAGGAAGATTAAGGGGCACGCTTACGGCAGCACGTACACGGAGTGCGCGAAGCTGTGCACGAAATTCGCTCAAGAGTGTGTGAACCGGCTGAACTTCCGCCTTGCTGATCTACGCAAGCTAGCACCAACGAAGCTCTTTCGAGCAGCCAAGTGGCCCAAGCCTCGGCAGCAGCGCGACCGCAAGACGCGAGAGTACCTACACGGATGCGCTGCTATCTTCGACAACAAGCTCCCTGGCTTCGACCTGCGAGCAGCCGAGATGGAGCTTGGCTCGTGGGCTCCAATCATGGCGGCGCACCACGAGGATGAGGGGTTTTTTCAAGGGCTGAAGAATTTCATGGGTGTAGCTGAGTCCGCCAGGTATGTAATACGATGTGGCGGGGCTAGCTGTGTTTCTCTCACGCAATTGTGACATTCTGCTAACCGGTATGTTAATGCTCGTGTGTGATATTTTCAGGCGCTGGCCCAACATCATGCGGCTGTGGCAAGCCGCTGCCGTGATGCCGCTGTCAACCGTTGAATGCGAGCGTGGATTCTCACGCCAGAACGTCATCAAGACCTGGGTGAGAGGCTCTTTAGGCAACGCGCGCCTGGCGGAGTTGATGACGATTTCCCTACTTGACTACGAGATCGACTGGAACGCGGCCCTCGCCAAATGGCGTGAGGAGAAGCCAAGGCGCCCTGCCAAGACTCCAACCTTCGCTGCAGCAGAGAGGAAGCGCAAGGGGAAGGAGCTGGCGGACGACCAGGAACGTGAGAGGGTTGTGCGCGGGCTGGAGTGGGATCGTGATGATTCGGATGCGGACGACGATGAGGAGGAGGCCTATGAGGAGGAGGAGGACCAGGAGCTGGACGACGACCCTTTCCGCGAGGAGGATGAGGAGGAGGAGGATGTGGAGGAGATAGGCATGGATCAGCCTGAGTGAGACCTAAGATTATTTGTAGCTGTAGGTAGGTAGGTAGGTGATTGCTGTAGGTAGGTGATAGCTGTAGGTAGGAGGAAGGAAGGATGCATCTGATCTGAGACTCAATGGATGATTGCCATGCCAGGACATTTTAACTTAGTTTTATTTAAGTCTGATTTTAGAATTTGAATAATGACCACCTCAGACTAAACCCTGAACCAATCCTGTGAAATCAGACTCAAGGAAGTTGGGGAAAATGTGCTTCAGACTAGACTGGAATTTTTTTTACCTGCTCTCAGAGTAGGTTTTTTTGAAACGTCAGCTCTGCTAACACCCCCAAGTCTCAAGCCAATCACTCGTGCCTTGCCTATCCTGATCCTCTAACCCAGTCCCACACACCCCAAACCAAGTGTAGTGGAATGTATCCCAAACTTTTCAAGAAATTCTGTGAAAGAAAGCAATTTTCCCTCCCTACGCTGCTTGACAATTCGACACCACACTGTGCTCAATTCTAATCTGAGTCACGTACGACAAGCCGTGCAGCAATATATGAAGTCTAAAAATCAGAATACCTGTGTGACAAAGAATGACAAGCATAGAAAGCAGAAAGTGGACAGTAAGAGGAGTGACAATATCGAGAGTGGAGGAGAAACCCCCCCAAGGCCCCCCTACCCCCCAATCCTCCTCACAGCCCCCCCTATCCCTGGCATGGCATGGCATGGTCTCCCCCTGTCCCTGGCATGGCCACAAAGCAACATGCGAGAGAGATGTTCCTACTTTTCTGTTACCTTGGTCTTCTTCTACTGTTCCTGTTCCTGTTTCTCTTTGTCACAAGTCGGCTGGAACAGTAACCGGGCGGCAGGAGCAGTAACCGGGCGGCTGGAACAGTGACCAGGCTGCAGGAACAGTAACCAGGTGACAGGAGCAGTAACCGGGTGGCAGGAGCAGTAACCGGGCTGCTGGAACAGTAAATGGGCGGCAGGAGCAGTAACCGGGCAGCAGGAGCAGTACCCGGGGGCTGGGACAGTAACCAGGCTGCAGGAACAGGAACCAAGCTTGCAGGGGCCATGGCTAGCCCAAACCCACCCCGTGCCTAGCCCAAACCCACCCCGTGCCTAGCCCAAACCCACCCCGTGCCTAGCCCAAACCCACCCCGCAGCTCTTATTATCGACACACGCACACAAGTACAAACAAGAGCAAGGTTCATATCCCATTAAATATCCTACTTGTATGTATATGCCTCGTGTCTTGGCGGGGTGAGAAGGTATCTTCACGGCGCCCCGCAGGAAGGAGAGAACGCCACTCGCGCAAGCTGGGGTGGGGAGGTATGGCAGGAGGATGGCAGGTGTGACGGCAGGGCGGGTGGTTTACAACCATGGCAGAGGTTTAAGGTGCAGCAGAGGTGAGTGGAGAGGTGAGTGAGGTGAGAAGAAGGGAGCTCTCTGTTCCTGTCTCTGTTTCTCTCCCTTCCTCTCCATGTTTCTGTTTCTTCTCTCCATCTGTCTCTGTTTCTGATATTTCTCACTATCCGTCTCTGTTTCCGTTCCTCCCTCGGCCTCTCTCTCGCTCTCTGTCAAAAGAGCGGGGCAGCAATAGGAGCGAGCGCGAGGGGCCTCACCTTGCGGGCCTCAACAGGTCCACCCAGAGCGCTCCGAGTCTGCCCCAACCTTTCCGCGTCTGCCCCGACCGCTCCGGGTCTGCCCGAATCGAACCTGGCCCAAACCAGCTGGTTTGGACAAGTCCAGCCAAACCGCTCCGGGAAAGTCCTCCACGGGCCTGGCTCAAACCGAAGTTCACCCCCCGCCCACCTGGCCAGGACATGGCCACACTGGCACCAGCATATATGATTACAGTAGCGTGGCGACATGGCATGGCATGGTTGACGTGGGCATGTTTGGCATGGTGTGCCATTGGATGGAATGGCATGCACATGGCACATGGCATGGCACGTAGCACGTGCAGGACTTCCCTATTTAAACCACTCAGCTCGACCCCTCCGTCGCCCTCGCTCACCCGCCCCTCCTCCTTCCTCTCCCTCACCGCTGCCCGCTCCTCTTCCTCCGCTGCTGCCCCCTGCTCCTTCTCCTGCCCTGCCGCTGCTTCATCTGCCACAGCAGCCACCACGTCTCTCCTGCTCCTCCTCCTCCCGTCCGGTCTCCTGCTGTCTCCTGCACATGCTCTCACCCCGTTTCCTGCTCCTGCCCCCTCTCCTGCTCCCGTGGTTCCTGTGTCTCAAGCAACAGTTGCTGCGAGGAGCAATGATGCCACCCCCGCACTGCTCCCCCCATTGCTCCTCCCCCTATCGGTGCTGCCCCCAATGCTCCTCCCCCCCTCGCTCCCCCCGTCGCTCCCCCCATCATTGCTCCTCCTCTCATTGCCGCTCTCACCACAATTGCTTCTCCCCCCCATGACTCCTCTTTTACCGCCTCTGATTTTGCAGTGTGCATCAACCCAGGCGAGAAGTTTGGCGACTACTATATTGCATGTCGTCACCGATGGCTTTGGATCATACCATTGCTACATCCGGGTGTCCCGGGCCTGCAAGACGACCTTCGCGAATGGCTACGATTCAACTGCGACTGCGTCGATCCAGGGGGGTTTGAATGTGTGACCGATACTTGTTAAGAAAAAAACTGTTTTAACCGCCTGATTTTGTGGTATGCATCAAACCAAGCGAGAAGCCTGCAGACGACTAAGGAGAACGAGATTGGGAGCATCCAGAGAATCTCTGTCCTTGCACCTTGTGCCTCTTTCTCTCCTCTCCCTCACACTCCCGGTCCTCTTCCCTCCTTTTTCTGCTACCACATATGTCCCCACCAGCTCATTTCTACAGACGACGAGACGCGGAGAAGAAGCTCATTCAGAACCAGAGGCTCCTTCTCCTCTGTACCCCTAGGCTCCTTCTCCTCTGTATCCCTAGGCTCCTTCTCCTCTGTACCCCTAGGCTCCTTCTCCTCTGTACCCCTAGGCTCCTTCTCCTCTGTACCCCTAGGCTCCTTCTCCTCTGTACCCCTAGGCTCCTTCTCCTCTGTACCCCTAGGCTCCTTCTCCTCTGTACCCCTAGGCTCCTTCTCCTCTGTACCCCTAGGCTCCTTCTCCTCTGTACCCCTAGGCTCCTTCTCCTCTGTACCCCTAGGCTCCTTCTCCTCTGTACCCCTAGGCTCCTTCTCCTCTGTACCCCTAGGCTCCTTCTCCTCTGTACCCCTAGGCTCCTTCTCCTCTGTACCCCTAGGCTCCTTCTCCTCTGTACCCCTAGGCTCCTTCTCCTCTGTACCCCTAGGCTCCTTCTCCTCTGTACCCCTAGGCTCCTTCTCCTCTGTACCCCTAGGCTCCTTCTCCTCTGTACTGCTAGGCTCCTTCTCCTCTGTACCCCTAGGCTCCTTCTCCTCTGTACCCCTAGGCTCCTTCTCCCATCCCCCCTACCCTCTCCTCCTGTCATTGCCCCACTCCTCCCCTTCCCTCCCCTCCCCACCCCTCACTCCCTTCCTTCCGGCTGTTGTGCCGCCTTTCGCCGCTGCCTCTGAGCTTTCCTCCCCACTGCCTAGCTTGCTGCGGACGACGAAGAGAGAAGAACGAGTGTGGGCTCAACCAGAGAGAAGCTTTTCACCATTCTGCGTCGGCAACTAGTACTAGTAGTACCCTCCACGTCCTTACTACTACTACTACTGGAGCGCAATAGCGCAACTAGAGTGAGTGTACATTCAGGGTTTGGTTCTCGGATTCTTGTATCCGCCTTGTGCGCTACGCCGCAACATCGTACTCGTTGCTGTTTCGGCGACACAAACTTACTTGCATGCACACTTCCCCGGTATCATCTGCATTTCATGCGATCCCATCATGCGACACGCACTCCTTACGACGCGTTTCTGCGACTGTCATTTCCCGCTTCGCATACTTGTGCGATCCCGTCGTGCGACGCCATGCCGGTGCAGCAGAAGCGGCAGTTTCGGAAGCGGAAAGCGCTCGAGGAGGAGGACGGGGATGGCGGAGGGGAGCCCGAGGAGCAGAAAGACGTACGGTACGCGCTATACCGTCTTTCGTCCCTCGTTACAGTTAACCGCACATAGTTTTGGCAGAGTTCAGATTGACCGAAGCGCTAGTGGCAGCGAGAGGCGGGAGATGGCGGAGGAGAGCCAGAGGAGCAGTAAGGACGTCCGATTCGCACTAGACCGCCTTTCTTGCGTCGTTACGGTCAACCGCACGTAGGTTTGGCAGCACTCACATTAACCGTAGCAGTGGTAGCAGCGAGAGGACGGGGATGGCGGAGGGGAGCCCGAGGAGCAGAAGGACGTCCGGTACGCGCTATATCGCCTTTCTTCGGTCGTTAAGGAGGTTTGGCCGCACTAGAATTGACTAAAGCTCTCGAGGAGGAGGGGGATGGCGGAGGAGAGCCCGAGGAGCAGAAAGACGTGCGGTACGCGCTAGGCCGTCTTTCGTGCGTCATTACGGTTAGACCGTCTTTCGTGCGTCGTTACGGTTATTCGTATCTAGGTTCGACGACAGCGCTTGCATTGACCGTAGCGCTGGTAGCAACGAGAAGAGAGGGATGGCGGAGGGGAGCCCGAGGAGCATAAGGGCATCCGATACGCGCCATTCCGACTTCTCCGTTGTACCTAGATTTTATGGTATCTAGTTTTGGCCGTACCTCGGATCGGCCGTACCTAAGGTTGAGCATATCTAGGCTTTACCGTTTCTGATTCGGTCATACCTGTTCTTTACCAAACCTAGGTCGGGCCATCGACCGTTCGATGCAACCATCTGCAAAGACGCGTCATTTGGTCCCTCAGTGCCGCTCCCCTTGCCCCGAGTCGTCCGCTGCTCATATTACCCACGCTCTCGTTTATCCACGCGTGCGAGGGCGTCGTGTCGGGCCATCTGCTTCGCCCGTCGCTTCATCCGCTTGCTGCCTCCGCTTCACCCCCCATTCCTATTCTTGAGGTGCCTCAAGAATCGCGAGAGCGTCGTCTCGCCATCTTCTCCGCTCGTCGCTTCATCCACTTGCTGCCTCCGCTTCACCGTTGCACTCACACGCACCCCCCTACCCTCTTCCCCCATCCCTCTTCCCAATTATTTCCCCTTTCCCCCTTCCCCCACCCCACTTCCCTCTTCCGTCCACCTTTCCCCTTCCCCGTTTCCCCTTTCCTCCACAGCTCCGCGCTACAGGAACTCCGCCTGCTGCAGCAGCAGCGCGTGCGCCTCAACCACCCCGTCCCCTCCCCCTCCCCCCTCTTCCCCCCCTAAATTCTTCCCCCGTATCTTTCCTCCTGCAGCTTCCACCTAGAGAAGTCCGTCTGCCACAGCAGCAGCGCATGCGCCTCAACCCCACCGCCCCCTTCTTCCCCCCTTCCGCCCCCGCCCCCAAATCTTTCCCCATAACTTCCCCCCTTGCAGCTCCGCGCTAGAGAAAGTGCGTCTGCTGCAGCTGCAGCGCGTGCGCTGCAAGGGGATAGCAGCAAATGGGGCGCTCTGTGTATACCCCCTTACCGCTCCCAACTCCTCTCCATCTCTGCAGGTCCGCCCTAGAGGAAGTGCGCCTGCTGCAGCAGCAGCAGCGCGCGTGGAGTGTCGCGTGTGGGGTATCGGAAGCAAATTACCCCCTTACCGCTCCCAACCCCGCTCCATCTCCTCAGGTCCGCCCTAGAGGAAGTGCGTCTGCTGCAGCAGCAGCGCGTGTGTGCCTCAAGGGGATTGCAGCAGACGAGGCGCTGGCCCTCACCCCCCTTCCCCTTCTCCCCATCTCATCCCATTTCATTTCACTGCAAACTCCCTCCCAGGTCCGCCCTAGAGGAAGTGCGCCTGCTGCAGCAGCAGCGTGTGCGTCTTAAGGGGATAGCAGCTGACGGGGCGCTCACAGGCGCAGAAGGGGCGGAGGGGAAGGGGGGAGGCGCGGGGGCGCAGGGGGAGGCGGGGGAGGAAGGGGAAGGGGGCGAGGAGCTGGTTCTTCAAGACACGTTTGCACAGGAAACGGCGATTACTGTAGAAGATCCAAACATGTACGTGAAGAAGGACGGGGAAGGAGGAGGAAGGGGAAGGGGGGAGAGACGGGGAAGTGGGGAGGATGGGGAAGGGGGGGGAGACGGGGAAGTGGGGAGGATGGGGAATGGGGGGGAGACGGGGAAGTGGGGAGGATGGGGAATGGGGGGGAGACGGGGAAGTGGGGAGGATGGGGAGGGGGGCGAGGAGTTGCTTTACAGGACACGCTTGCGCAGGTGGCCCACGCCCTCGTCCTCACCCGTCTTCCTCTCCCCCCTCCCTCTCCTTCACCCCTCCCTACCTGGTTCCCCAGGCTCAAGTACATAGAGGAGGAGCTGAGTTGGCCCCCATGCCCTTCCCCCACACTCTCCCCCTTCCCCCTCATTCTCCCCTTTTCCCCCTCATCCCCCTCTTCCCCCGCTTTCCCCCCTTCTCTACCTCCACCCTGGCTCCCAGGCTCAAGCATATCGAAGAGGAACGGGCGAAGCAGTAAGGGGATGCTTAATTGAGCTCCGCGCCGTGACCCTCATGCCCCATCATCCTCACCCTCTCCTCTCCCCTTCCCCCTTCCCCCCCCCCTCCTCCCCTTCCCTCCCCCCCCAGCACGACTTTAGGTCCAAACGCACGCAGCCACGTGGCCGAATTGAAGAAAAAAGCTCGCCCCCCAGGCTCAAGTACATAGAGGAGGAGCTGGCGAAGCGCCGAGGGGGTGCGGAGTTGAGCCCCATGCCCCGGTCGTGCATGCCCCATGCCCTATGCCCCTACTGTGACCTGTCCCTCCACACTAGTCCCCCCCCCCAGGCTCAAGTACATTGCTGAGGAGCTGGCAAAGCGCCGAGGGGGAGGGGCGGGGGCAGCGGCAAAGCAGAGAGGAAGTGCTTCTTACATGCCCGCTGGCTGCCCCATGCTGTGACCCACAATACTTTTGTGCCCTCCCATACATTCTTTCCCACGCTCAAGCACATCGAGGAGGAATTGGCAAAGTGCCGAGGGGGTGCTAAGTTAGCTTTGATGCCCTGACCTGACCCTCATTCTCCTTGCCCCTCCTCCCGCTCCCCCCCTCCCCCCCAGGCTCAAGTACATCGAGGAGGAGCTGGCGAAGCAGCGAGGGGGAGGGGCGGGGGCAGCAGGGGGCAGCAGGGGGGAGGGGGAAGGGGAGGATGAAGTGTTGCGGGCTGAGGACAAGCTGTACGAGATTCCACAGCACTTGCAGGTGATTATAACTATGTGTTAACATGTGTTATAACGAGTGCCGCTTAAACAGGAGTTAGAGGAAGGGGGATGGGGATGAGGAAGGGTTGCAGGCTGAAGACAAGCGGTATGAGATTCCTCACAGCACTTGCAGGTGATTATAGTGCATGCTATGATAACGAATGGTAAGGCAACGTGATGGGGGGGAGGGGGATGAGGAAGGGTTGGGGAAAATCTGTATGAGATTCCACAGCACTTGCAGGTGATTATAGCGAATTTTGATAACTAGCAGTTGATCATAACGAATGCTGCTGAAACAGGAGAGGGAGAGGGGGGTGGGGGGGAGGGGGAGGATGAAGGGTTGCGGGCTGAAGACAAGTTGTATGAGATTCCACTGCACTTTCAGGTGAGGTGATTATAGCAGGTGATAAAAACTAGCAGGTGATGATAACAAATGCTGCTTTAACTGGAGAGAGAGAGAGAGAGAGAGAGAGAGAGAGAGAGAGAGAGAGAGAGAGAGAGAGAGAGAGAGAGAGAGAGAGAGAGAGAGAGACAGACCCCATCAGCACCCGCGACGAAAATGCAACTAAGGGGCGGGGGTGGGCGGCACGGGAATCAGCAGATAAGAAGCACGGCCTCTATAGGGACCGCCCAGAGTGGGTGAAGTTTTTCCCGCTCGCGGTCGAGACTTATGGGTGCCCTTGCCCTGAGACAGTAGATTTCCTGAAGCTGCTCGCGGAGACGGCTGCAAGGCGGTTCTTTAACACCGAGCCCACCTCCTACCAAGCTGCCAAACTCCTACACCAATATCGGCAGCGGTGGTCGGCGGCGCTTCAAAAGGGGCAGTCGATTGGTTACTTGGAGAAGTGCAACATAGCGGCTGCAGTAGAAAACCCACTGCTGGAGGTGGTGGGGGAGGCACCGTCCCTAGGGGACTGCCTCTCGGTCCTCGATCCTGCACTGGACCTAGCTTAGGGGAGGGGGGGGAAGTGATAAGGGAGTAGTAAGAGCCTTTTGTGCACAAGACTCACACATTAGCCACCACCTTGCATGCTTGTAACTCCTGTAATAACTGTTGTTAGGTACTTATTTTCCTTTAATTATGCTGAAGGTTAGTTCACTAGTTTGTTATATGGTTTGTATGTATTTGCTTACATTATAATAGTGTAGACAATAGGGGTTGGGTTATATTAGTTATAGGGTGCCCCCTGAGTGACTTTATCAAGTGCTAGGCACCCCAAATTCGGCTTTGGGGCACCCCAGCACGTTTCCCATCCTTGGGGACGCGGCTCCAGCCTGGACCCACGAATTTCAACATTGGAAACGCGGCTCCAGCTTGGAATTCGCGTTTCCAATTCGTGGAATCGCGGTTCCACTAGAGGGGGCGCTTCCAGGCCCACTTTGAGGGTCCCTCACGTCCCCATCTTGACTGTGGGCGACTTGAGCACCCATTTGGCCACCCCAAGTCCCTTGGGTACCAAATTCCTCACCTAGACGAGCCCAAGTCGCCTCCAAGCTAGCTCTCTTCACTTTCTGCCTATTTTAGCTTTTGTTTTGCTTGTATTCATCACTTCAGTTAACTTTCTATTTGTAGACCTTTTTCAACATCTCAGAACCAGCTTCTCCTTGTGCACATTGTGCACATAGGTCTGATTTTCTACATGATATCAGAGCTATAGCTGAGCCTCCGTTGGTCAGCCTCTTTTGCACTACAATAGACCTTTTAGAAACATTGCTGGTTTTCCTCCATATTTATGGACCATTGGCTGTACTTCGTTTCCAACGCTTAGCCATCAAATAGCCGTTTTTTTTTTTTTTTTTTTTGTTCATCTTAACTATGGCTACAGTGGACAGTCATTTGGGGAGGCTCACTTTGCCCTCCCTCCTCCCCGATGGCTCCAACTTCAATCATTGGAAGCGGATGGTGGTCCTCACCTTCCAAATTGTGGGCATCGTCGACGCTCTTGGTGATTCCGCGCTCACATCCTCATCCGCCTCTTCCTCTACCAATGCTCCGGCCTCCACGGCAGATGCTGCGCCAGCAGCTCCATCCCACCCGGCTCGCCCGGCTGCTACTACCCCTGCCCTTGCAGCAGCAGAACAAGAACAGCGTGCCTTGCTGTACCTTCTCTCCACGCTTCCCATGCAGCTCTCGATGTCTATTTCTCCAACCGAGACCGCTGCCGGGTTGTGGGCTCTTCTCAACAAGAAATTTGCCAAAACCGGCAATCAAGCTTAATTCGGCCTGCTGCGTCAGCTCTTCTCTGTCCGCATGGACCCTGGCCAGCCTGTCCGTGCCTACTTTGACCACGTTCGCTGTCTTGACCTGCAACTCCAGACTAGCGGCTACAGTCTACCCTCTTGGGTGACCATCACGTCTATCCTTTTGGGTCTTTCTCGGTCTTACGACACGCTTACTGAAACGCTTTGCTCGGTCAAAGAAATAAAGGATATGACCCTTGAGTGGCTAGAGGGACATCTCGTGGATGCTGAGTGGGACCGTGCAACAAAAAATTCGTCGCTCCCTGCTGATGGTGCTTATGTCGTTCAACCTGGACCCTCCAAGCCTCATTCCAGCACCTCTACCACTTCCTGCCGCTATTGCAAGGCTGCTGGTCACGCCATCACCACTTGCCCTCAACTCGACAAGAAGAAGCGCACGCAGCAACTACAGCAACAGCACCAATCGCCATACCTGCCGCAGTCTACATACCAACCACAGTCGCAGCCGTACCAGCCCCAACAGCCACAGCAGATGCCGTTCCGTTCCCTCTCTCAAAGCTCGCCCAACAAGGCAGCTGCACACACCGCCCTCCCACCTCTGGCATATCCTGCTCACCTGGCCCAGCCTCTCCTTCCCTCTCCTACCTCTGACGCTACCTCACCAGCACTCGCGGCTTCTCATGTGTCATCCACGCCACTGTCATCTTCGATTGATTCTCGCTATGCCGATGTCGCCGCCGCGCACTTACTCCCTACCTCTTGGCTGCCGTCCCTCCCATCGCTACTACTCCTCATCTCCTTTCTCCTCTACCTTTTCTCCATCCTGCTCCAGCGGCCTCTCGCCTCCGTCCTCACCAGCTCTCCTTCTTCCTCCTCCTGGCTCCTTGACTCCGGCGCATCCTCGCATCTCTGCAATGATCCTCATCTATTTTCCTCCCTCCGTCAACCATTTCCTGGTAGTGGCGTCCGGTTTGGTGGTGGGGAGCAGTACCCTGCCCACGGCATTGGGGACATTCTTGTCTACGCCCGTCACAACAACCATACCCATCCTATCACCCTGAAGGATGTCCTATACATTCCCCAGACTGCTCATAATATCATCTCTGTTCGTAAGCTGAAAGACGAAGGACTCACTACCCACTTCCCTCTTCATGCTCCTCCCCAAGTGTTCCGAGGCTCCACGGTTCTTGCTGTCGCCCATGAGCACATGAAGCCGTTCTTCGTTTCTCTCAGCCCTGCCTCATCTTCGCAGCCGGCCACGGTCTCTACTGCATCAGCACCTCCTCCTCTTGTTCCCGCATCCTGCTCTGCAGCTTCATCTCTTCTTTGGCATCGGCGATTCGGACATCTCAACGGACAAAGCTTGCAGCAGCTTCATTCCAAACAGATGGTCAGCGGCATCAGCCTCAACGGTTCCCTGCCTTCCACCTGCATTTCGTGCCTTCGTGGGAAGCAAACCCGCCAGCCATTTCCAGACTCTACCTCGTCCAGCTCAGCCCCACTTGACCTGGTTCACACTGATGTCGCTGGACCATTTCCCATCGGCACCACGTTTGGCGGGGCCACCTATCTCCTCACATTCATTGACGTTTACAGCCGCTATACCACTGTCTACCTTCTCAAATCCCGCTCTGAAGTCTTTAGCACATTTCAGCGCTATCTCGCCCAAGCCGAAAGCCACTGCAAGACACATCTCAAGGTCTTGCACTCCGATGGCGCCCCGGAATATCTTTCCGACGCTTTTCAAGCTTTCCTCGCTTCGCGTGGCATCACCCGACAGGTCTCTACACCATACACCCCGCAACAAAATGGTGTCGCTGAGCGGATGAATCGCACCATCCTTGACATGGTGCGGTGCATGTTACATGACAGCGGTCTTCCTCGTGGGTGGTGGGGAGAAGCAGCCCTTACTGCTGCATATATTCGCAATCACTCTCCTTCTTGCTCACTCCCTCGCGATGTCACGCCTATGGAATTATGGACAGGTCAGCGGCCGGACGTCACCCATTTTCGCGTGTTTAGATGCCCTGTCTCCGTGCTTCTACCTACTCTTTATCGAGAATCCAAGTTACATGACCGCAGTGCTCCTGGCATCTTCCTCGGCTATGGTCTCCTTGATGGTTACAAAGCATATCGCGCTTATATCCCCTCCATCCGCCGGGTTGTCTACTCTCGGGATGTCACATTCCTTGAAACCTCCCCCTCAACTCCCCCTCACCCGCCACCACCTCTACCATCACCCCCTACTCCCGCACCTGTCACTTTGTCACTTCATCCGCCTTCCCAACCTACCTCCTCACCAGACCCTATCAATCCTCCTCCGCTGCCTGCTACACACGCAGAAACCTCTCCCTCTGCTACTCCGTCTGCACCTCTCTTTCCCATACTCCCCACCCCTCCTTTCCAGCCTTTCACCCTTCCCACTTCCCTTCAGAAGCCAGCCTCCACACCCACTTCCTCACCTCTTTCTTTTTCCTCCTCTTCCAACCCCGAGTGCCCAAGACTTTCAGCTCAACTTCTCTGACCCCTCTGTTAACACCATCCTTGACGAAGATCGCGAGTCAGCCCATTATTTTCACGACTTTGCCTACATTGCTCTTCATTCCCACTACGAGCCACCTACAATTACTGCTGCCCGCTCTTGCCCCGCTGCTCCCCAATGGCTTGCTGCTGCTGACGCTGAAATTACTGCACTCCTGGCCAACCGCACTTACAGCGTTGTGCCCAAACCGCCCGGCTGCACTCCTATCCCTTGCAAATGGGTTTTCAAGGTCAAAGAGAACCCGGATGGGTCCATCGAGCGCTATAAAGCCCGTTTGGTCATTAAAGGCTTCAAGCAACGTGAGGGCATTGACTACACTGAGACATTTGCACCCACCATTCGCTTTGCTACGCTTCGCTTGCTCCTCACCCTTGCTGCTGCCCTTGATCTTGAGATGCATCAACTCGACATCTCCAATGCCTTTCTCAATGGCGACCTTGACGAGATTATTTACATGACCCAACCACCCGGTTTTGAACTCCCTCCTGCCAACGGCTCTCCTCAAGTTTGCCTCCTGCACAAGCCCTTGTATGGCCTCAAGCAGGCTCCTCGGTGTTGGTACAAAAAACTGAAATCGGAGCTTCTCACATTTGGCCTTCACACCTCCGCTGCCGACCCTGGACTTTTCATTGCTGCACCCTCCTCACCTCTTCTTCCACATCCTTCCCACTTCTTCCTTGTCCTAGTCTATGTCGACGATCTCATCATCCTTTCCACCACCATCACTCCCCCTACCACCTTCAAGACTTCTCTGTCCACTCACTTCAAACTTCGTGACCTTGGCCCATTAACTTATTACCTCGGCCTCCACTTAGACCGCGACCGCTCTTCTCGGACCCTCCTCATCCACCAGTCCAAATTTATTACTGCACTCCTCTCTACCTTCAATCTCAGCCACGCCAACCCCAGCCACACCCCCATGGACTCTAAGCTCCTCCTTCCAACACGCTCCTTATTGCCACCCTCTGAACCCTTCCCATATCCCTCTTTGGTCGGCTCTCTCATGTACGCAATGGTTGCCACTCGCCCTGACATAGCCCATTCTACTGGACTCCTTTCACGTCACCTCCATTCTTGGTCAGATCCTCATTGGCTGGCTGCTAGACGTGTTCTCCGTTACCTCAACGGGACTTCTTCCCATGGGCTGCTTCTTGGTGGCAATCCCGCCTCCCTCCAGCTGGTCGGGTATTGTGATGCCTCATGGGCTTCCGAAAGTGAGGATCGTCGTTCCCTCACTGCATACCTGTTTTTTCTGGGACCTTCTCTGATTTCTTGGCAATCCAAGCGGCAATGTGTGGTTGCGACATCCTCTTGTGAAGCTGAATACTACGCGCTCTGTGCAGCAACCCACGAAGCCCTTTGGCTCCGTACTCTCCTCTGCTATCTCGGCCTTCCCCCCACTGGTCCCACCCCGCTGCTCTGTGACAACACTAGCGCCATTGTCTTGGCAAAGGACGCTGGTGTTTTCCATGCCCGTGCCAAACACATCGACATCCGCCACCATTTCCTCCGTGATCATGTTGACAAAGGGCATATCTCGCTGCACTACATCCCTAGCCGTGATAACCTTGCTGATTTGGGGACCAAGCCTCTCCCTCGTGACACACTTCAGCGTCTACAGTCCTGCATCGGCCTTCGCCCTACTACTTCTTCTTTGATCTCTCCCTCGGTGTCACCCTAAGGGGGGGTGTTGTTAGGTACTTATTTTCCTTTAATTATGCTGAAGGTTAGTTCACTAGTTTGTTTTATGGTTTGTATGTATTTGCTTACATTATAATAGTGTAGACAATAGGGGTTGGGTTATATTAGTTATAGGGTGCCCCCTGAGTGACTTTATCGAGTGCTAGGCACCCCAAATTCGGCTTTGGGGCACCCCAGCACGTTTCCCATCCTTGGGGACGCGGCTCCAGCCTGGACCCACGAATTTCAACATTGGAAACGTGGCTCCAGCTTGGAATTCGCGTTTCCAATTCGTGGAATCGCGGTTCCACTAGAGGGGGCGCTTCCAGGCCCACTTTGAGGGTCCCTCACGTCCCCATCTTGACTGTGGGCGACTTGAGCACCCATTTGGCCACCCCAAGTCCCTTGGGTACCAAATTCCTCACCTGGACGAGCCCAAGTCGCCTCCAAGCTAGCTCTCTTCACTTTCTGCCTATTTTAGCTTTTGTTTTGCTTGTATTCATCACTTCAGTTAACTTTCTGTTTGTAGACCTTTTTCAACATCTCAGAACCAGCTTCTCCTTGTGCACATTGTGCACATAGGTCTGATTTTCTACAGTAACCAATGAAAAGACCATTTGAGAGAGAGAGAGAGAGAGAGAGAGAGAGAGAGAGAGAGAGAGAGAGAGAGAGAGAGAGAGAGAGAGAGAGAGAGAGAGAGAGAGAGTTGACTTAGCACCCAGCCCTCTTCCTCTTCCCTTGGCCCTCTTCCTCTGAGCCTATTTAAGGGCCCTTGGTGCCTTCTTCTCCTCATTATTTCGTGTGTTCTCAGTTTTCCGCGGCTGGAGAGAGCGAGAGAGAGAGAGGACTTAGCACCCAGCCCTCTTCCTCTTCCCTCGGCCCTCTTCCTCCGAGCCTATTTAAGGGCCCTTGGTGCCTTCTTCTCCTCATTATTTCGTGTGTTCTCAGTTTTCTGCGGCTGGAGAGAGCGAGAGAGAGAGAGGACTTAGCACCCAGCCCTCTTCCTCTTCCCTCGGCCCTCTTCCTCTGAGCCTATTTAAGGGCTTTTGGTGCCTTCTTCTCCTCATTATTTCGTGTGTTCTCAGTTTTCCGCGGCTCGCGCCGGCGGCCTTCGGCCGCGCGTTTCTGGTGGCAAGACACAAAACGGAGGATCGGCTTATATAGGGCACACACACACACAAAGGCAAGGAGCTGGGCAGGAGCAAGAGGCGCGGCATGCAATTCTACACACGGCGGAGGCCTACATCGTGTACGGCTCCGCCCCCTCCACCTCAAGCATCGAGCGCATGCACGCCGACAACGCAAGAAGGAGATGCGCCGACGACTGGAGCGTGTCCAAGGGGGTCCCGGCTTGAGCAGCCCCTACAAGATCCCCCACGTGGCGGGGGAAAGTACGGGCTAAGGGAGCTACCCCGGCGGGTGCGTCCGACACGGGTGCCAACGGCGACTCGAGTGATTCTGCCAAAGTCACGCAGGATCCTCGGGTCCCTGGACCAAAACTGCTCGGAAAGCTCCTCGTGGCCCCACACACCGCCAGCTGCAAGTTCGCCACCACCTCGCATGCCTCCGCCAGATTCAGAACCCGGCACATGGTCAGCATGGGGTCTCTCCCCGCGCGAGTGGGGAGAGGTGCAGTCTGCGCTTCGCGCGGAAACGCCGCCGGCCAGCCAGGAGTCCGGCCAACAGCCAAGCGCGGCGCAGAGAAGCCGGGAACCTGACGGGGGGTGCGGAACTAAGCCCTCCCCTCACGCGCGGGCTGATACTCGCGCAGCGTCGGCGCACGCAGAGGAGCGACCTGGCCTGGGTCCGCGGCGAAGGGGGGACCGTTGGTCACCTCAATATGGACGTGAGTCGGCGCCCCACTCGCCCGGGCCTGCCTCACCACCTCCACGAACGTGTCCGCAGCATGATCGAGGGCTGGATCAGGCTGGTTGCCATTCCCGCCTCGCCCTCCGCCCTTCCGCCAGCCCCGCCGTCCCCCGGAACCAGCCGAATGTGGACGCGGGGGGGACTGCTCGCGGCGACCCGAATCCCAGCGACGACCAGGCGACCCCCTCCCCCGCGTCGCCGGAGATCGCCGAGGAGAACGTTGCGCGGGGGATCGCGCTCACGGTGAGCGCTGGCCTACCTGACCACGAGGGGATGGGCGGCGAGGGGAGCGAGGACGTGCAGAAGAACGCTTACCCCCCTCCCCGCGCTGATAGTGCTCGCGACGCTCAGGAGAAGGGCGGCGAGGAGAGGGTGGCTGTTGAGGGTGCCGCAGAGGCGAGCACCCGCGCTCCTGCCGCGGCTGACCGTCCGGGCGGTTCGACGCAACACGAGCAGGCGCCCACGAATACTCCGGCGAGGCGGGGCGCGCGGCAGGACGATGGGGAAGCGTTTGAACCCGCTCGAAGTGGTGCACGGGCTCGCTCGCGGAGGGGTGCGCAGGGAGACGCGGACGAGGCCCGGCAGGCGCAGGCTGCGGTAGCGAGCTCTCCGCGGAACCCTCCAGCTCCGGATCCCGTCTCACGGATGGGTCCATCACCCCCGATCTTACCGCAGCCGACGCCAGTGCGGCGACGAAGCGAAAACGAGACGGCCGCGGCGCCGCAGACAGGGCGCGAGGGAGCTGCTGTGGGACGAGCAACGCGGGGAATCCGCGTAGGACGCGGCAGCCGCCGCGGACGACGAGGCAACGAGAGAGGACGAAGAGGTGGTGGAGCACGAGATTCGAACAGGCGCGGATCTGGTGCAAGCGGCTACGCGAGGAATGTGGAAAGGCCGATGCGAAACGGCGCGGAGGGTGATGTGGAACCACTTAGCGAGGAAGCAGAGGAGGAAGCGGAGAATGAGGAAAGTGAAGAGGGGGACCCTGCCTTTAACCCTGAAAGCGAGGAGATGTTAGAAGCAGAGGCCGAGGAGGACGAGGAAGAGTTGGAGCTGCTGCGGGAAGCGGAGCTCCCAAACCAGCAGGCCAGAGGTGAACCTGCAAACCGAACCTCAGTTCGGAATCGAACCGCGGGGGGAATTCAAGCAAGGAGGGGAAATCGAGCCGCTCCAGAAGAAAGAATTGACTCTGCAACAGCCAATGAAAATTCCGCAGCCCCGAGTCCAACCCCCCCGATGCTCAAACCTGACGACCTGGCGAAAAACTCTGAGCTATTCGCTCAGGTTGCAGTCTGGGACCTCGACCCGCTGCGTGACAGTCGCCAACCTCCTCTCGCTCGCCACCCCCCCAAAGACCTTCGCGACTCCTTCGCGATCTGTATGTTGACGCCGTTACTCCACCTGGCGGCCAATCCCGAGTCTGCGCCAGGATGGAAACTACTGACCTTTCTCCCGCGCATACTCCTTCGCACCTCGTCAGCCCGTAAACCTGACTGGAGCGCGATGATGAATCGGCTCCTGCGATTTCGCCAAGGGCTCTGGGCGGACCTATACGAAGAAGCTGTCCAGGCGATTTCCTTGCCTCCGCAGCCTTGCCACTCACTCGACACAACTGGAATACTGGCACGGGCGGAAGGTCTGGCAAAACGGGGTAACCTGTCAAAATCACTCCAATCCCTCCAGGCCACCCCTGTGTCACCTGCCTCACCTGAAGTGCTGGAAGCCCTCGCGACGAGACATCCACCTGCCAGCCAGCTTCTCCCTGACTGGCTCCACACCGCCTCGGCTGAAGACCCACCCACTATCGAAGCCCGCGACTTCAGGCGCCTCCTCGCCAAGCTCCCCGACAGAGTCGGGGCCGGCCCCTCAGGAACCACTTTCGAGCATATCCGCGACGCAGCCCTAGGGAATGCCGAAGTACTCTCCCACCTCCTCGCCCTCTCCAACACAGCTCTAGCAGGGAAACTCCCAACAGCCGCGGGGGATCTTCTCACGGCCTCCCGCCTGCTAGCCTTTACGAAACCCCAAGGAGGGACGCGGCCAATAGCGGTGGGGGAGTGTCTCCTCCGGATTATAGCAAAGGCCGCCCTCTTCCTGACCGCGCCAGCCGCCCGTACTCACCTTGCCCCCCTTCAATTCGGCGTGGCAGTAGCAGGGGGGATCGAAGCGACTATCCACACCGCTCGCACGTACCTGGAAGTGCACCCTGCTGCAGTGGCCTTGCAGATCGACCTCGCGAACGCTTTTAACGCGGTCGAAAGGAGAGCGGTGTTCGAAGGACTGAGAAACGAGGCGCTGAAGAAGCTGATCCCCCTCGTCCGCCTATCCTACGGGGCTCCCTCCTCGCTCTACCTCGACCACGACTTCGGCGCAGCCCCGCTGCAGAGCGCCAGAGGAGTTCGCCAAGGGGACCCGCTCGGCCCCCTCCTGTTCGCGGCAAGCATCCACCCGTGCCTCATTGCCACGGCGGCGGCACACCCTCAGGTGGTCCTGCTGGCGTACGCCGATGACATCACGCTGCTCGGCGACGCCTCGGCCTGCACAGCAGCTTTCGACCACCTCACATCCGCACTTGCCGCCCTCGGCCTGGTACACAACCCGGCCAAATGCGCGGCGTGGTCCGCCGCTCCAATCGACCCCTCTGCAGTGCCTCCGGGAATTACTATCTCTGATGAGGGACTGCAGATTCTCGGCAGCCCGGTTGGCACACCCCGGGGGTGCGCGGGCGCCGTGAGAGAGAGACTGGCAGTAGCAGCATCCCCACTCCCCCTGCTGGCCCAGATGGACCCCCAGCTTAGCCTCCTCCTCCTCACCCGCTGTGTCAGCCGCCGAGCCTCTTTTCTGGCCAGAACCACCCCCCTGGAAGCTCTCCCTGAAGCGGAATGGTCAGCTTGGGGGGAGCAGCTCCTACACACCTTCCTGGACTCGGACCACATCCTGAGACCGAGGAGTGCCCGGGAGAGGCGGAGGATTTGGCGGCAGGCGGCCCTGCCCGTGACTCTGGGAGGCCTGGGCATCACTGACCCCGCCGTTGAAGGCAGCTACGCTTACCTCGCTTCAGTGATCAGCGCCGCCCACCTTCTATACTCCCTGGAGGAGTCGTTACACCCTGCTGTCGCCGCGCTCCTCCCCCTACTGGACCCTACCCACGGCTCCCCGAACGCGCTGCCTGCACGCCTCGCCGCGGCTGAGGCAGCTCTCCCACCTGAGGCTCTCGAGGTGCTCCAGGCCGGGAAGACAGACCCCAAGGGACTGAAGCTGCAGCAGAGCCTAGCGCTGGCGGTTCACTCCCGCCGCTTCTTGAGGGCCATGCGCGAGGCAAGGCGGATGCGCCCCAACCCCCTTTCAGGCCATGCGCAACGGATGCAGTCGGTGCTAGGCCCAGGAGCGGGGGATTGGCTGCTGGCGATCCCGCTCATCCCCTCGCTCTGAATGGGCCCCTCCCAGCTCTCAACTGCAGCTGCCTTCCGCCTAGGCCTCCCCCTCCCAGTGCCTAGACGCTGTGACTGCCGCTACCGCACCACCTTCCCCGACGACCGCCTCCCCAACCACCTCATGCGCTGCGAGAAGGGGAAAGGGAGGACCGCTACCCATCACGCTCTGCGGGATGAGATAGCAAATATCGGGGCTGAGGCGGGTTTTACGGTTCATAAGGAGACGTATGTCTACTCACTGGTTGAAAACCTAAAGGCGGATGTCACCATCCGTCATCCACTGACCGGGGAGGTTTGGATGTGCGACGTGACCGTGACGGACCCGATGTCATACCAGGACGAGAACTGCAACCGAGCTCCTGGTTGGGCAGCTAGGGCGGCAGCGGCAAAAAAGGAGGAGAAGTACGCACAGCGGAACACGTGGGTGGGGTTCCACGCGCTCGCAGTGGAAACATACGGCTACCCCTCGCCGGGGGTGCTGGCTTACCTGCGGCAATGCGCGGAGCTGGCGGCAAAGCTGCGGTTTAACGCAGCCCCTACCTCCTACGAAGCAGTGAAGCTTCTGACGGAGTACCGCCAGCGTTGGAGCGTGTGCCTCCAGCGGGCACAGGCCAACGCCCTCCGCACCAAGACCAATGAGGCCTTGGCGGCGGACGAGCTCGGTTTTAGAGGACCCATCATCCCTCTCAGTGAGGGACAGCTGCACCAGTTGATTGAGGCCCCGTTCGACCAGTAGGGTCGGACAGGGGGGGGGGCAGAGTAGGTAGGGGACTTGGAATAGTTAGGATGCCGGTTTTCTGTTGAGCTTGTGCTTGTGTGTTTTGCACCTTCCGTTGTACCACCCCCCAAAGAAATGCAAGGACCACTCGAGAGAGAGAGAGAGAGAGAGAGAGAGAGAGAGAGAGAGAGAGAGAGAGAGAGAGAGAGAGAGAGAGAGAGAGAGAGAGAGAGAGAGAGAGAGACGACAAGGGTGACTTAGCCTTCTCCCTCCTAGCCTCTTCCCCTCCCTTCCCCCGCTATATAATGGCCGCTCGGCCTCTTTCCTAGCTCATTCTTCATTTGGTGTTTCAGTTTTTTCCGGCGCGAGCGCTGGCGCTACGCGGCCTTCGGCCGCGCGTTAGGGATGACAAGAAGAAGACATTGGGGACAATCAGCATGACAACGATTCCAACAATGGCAAGCACGGGCATCTAGACAAGCACACATGGAGCGGGTCTTCACGCGCGCGAGGGGCGCGCCTACATGCGGTCCGCCTCCAGCTCACCTAGCATTTCGCGGGTGGTCAACCACAAGCAGCGGACCACTGACGCGGTGGCGGCGACAACGTCATCAAGAGTTCCGCGATCTCCTACAAGCGTCTTCAGATCCAAGGCCCTCTCAGCCAGCAGGGTGGCCGAGACTACTCCCGGCGAGGGCGCAACCTGCAGCGGCGATACGTACGCGAATAGTGTTGACGCCGCCGCGTGACACCTTGCTCGCGGCATCTGAGAGAACATGCTCGGTGGGGTCAACGACATGGAGCCGTGGGACTCCACAAGAACCACCTCAAGACTCTGGAGGCACTCCGCGATCGACCACAAGTGCGCCAGGGTCGCCATGGGCACTTCTTTCTTCGCCGGCGGCATTGCAGTTTGGCGAGCTCGACACGACGACACCGCATAATCGCGTGGAGGTGGAGCAGGTCGTGGAGGAACGTACGGGGCCCACGGATTCCCGCCACCCGCTCCCACGAAACCTGCCTCCGCAGGCAGAGGACTACCGGGATGCATAAGAGACCCCACCGGGTTGTGCGGAAGGAGCGCAGCGAGGGGAGCGGCCGGAGCTTCTGGGCGCGCGGCCTGCGATGATGAATCCGCCTTCGAACGGTGGAGTGCCTTCTCCACTCCATCCAGCCTCCGTTGAAGACGCTCCATTGCGGTCGGCGCCCGACGCGCCGCTCCGCCACGGCCATAGCCGCCCTGCCGCCCACGTCGCTCACGGCCGCTCACATTTGAGCTCGCAGGGGACGGACGGCGTGACGAGACGCGCTGGTGCGGGCGCTCAGGAGATCGTCCCCCACGACGAGGGGAGTAAAGTCGCCGCCGCTTCGGCTGCTGCGGTGAACGCGGGGAGAGGGAGCGACGATGCGAGGCGTGATGATCAAGAGAATGTTGGCATGACGATTGACGAGCAGGGGATCGGCGACGACGCCTCCGGCAATCTCGGGACGAGCTTCGCGACGCCACGCGGCGTGGCGATTGCGACGGGCGGGGCGACAGCGGTGGGGGAGGCGTGCAGGACTTATCTCGACGATCATCGCGGCGGCTCGCCCGCCCCTCATGGTGTGTTACTGACGAGCGGCGCCGAGGCGATCGCCCCCGGGGCGCCACAGCCTCTTCGGCGGAGCGCACGCCGGGCCCCTCGCGTGCCAGTTCCTTCCGTGGCGAGGTCCGCACCAGCTCGTGTCGATGCTCCTCGAAGCGGCGGCGGACCTGTTCTGCCGCCTTCAATGGAGCCACAGGGACACTCGCCGCAGGTCACGAGGGAGGAAGCGCACGGGGAGCAGGATCGCTCTCCGCGGTACGTTCGTGGACCGGAGCGGCGGGCAGATCCATCAGGTCGACAGGCAGATGCCGCACGAGGCGCAGACGAACGACTTCCCGCGGTAGGTCCTGCAGGACGAGGGGGGAGCGCGGCGGTCGGCGGGGGGAGAGCTCGCGGCGGGGGACCAGAAAACGTCTACCAGCGGGCGGGAAGACGGGCTTTAATGAATCTCGACGAGGATACTGATAGCAGCACCTCGGATGCTAGCTTTGTACCCGCTGAATCCACGGACTCGACCTCGAGTTCGGAGTCCGTGGATGACGCAGAGCTTCGGACTCCTGCTCGCGCAGGCAGGGCAACTACTGCTACTGCTGCTAGGAGACCCGGGAGGAGGGGTCCACCAACACCAACTCGCGCCGCATTGGGAATTGTTGCCACGCCACCACACCCAACCACAACTTCCCACATTCAGACCCCTGCGCAAACCGCCCCTCCACCTGCACCTGCACCTGGCGGTAACCCCATTTCGACCCAACCCCTCGAGGAAAAA